TTTTTTATATCTTTCTCTACAATCGCTATATCTCATTTTATCTTATTTTATCTTTTTATTGAATAGGTGTATGTCTAAGTAGCAACCTTCTCGTATATATATTTACGCAGTATCCTAATCAGCACCTAAATCAATAAAATTAATCGTGCATTTATTGTACTTTTGACCTTAGTTCGCACGCACAAGATAAGTTCATATACCAAAACGAGTATTTTACAAGTTCATACACTAGATTGCACACACCCGACAAGTTCATGTACAGCCGGTGCAATTTGCTCTTAATTATTTGTCACTCAATAGACATGTGGGCCTTCATGTGTCTATGATATATGGGTCCAGTGACAAATTCTAATCACCACTTGTAAGAGTCGCAAATAATTAACTCATTGGTTTGCAAAATTACTCCATAGTTAAGGTGTCTGTACGTCTTTTCTTTTGCCAGAAACCAGGTGAAATGCTCCTCATGATTTTTAATGGATGACACCGTGAATTTTAGATATACGTTTTACTATTCAACTTACTAAATTTTTTAGTAAATACGTAGAAATATAAGAAATGCTTAAAGTACGTCTAATTAATATTAATATAATTCACACTAAAATCAATTATATTTATTTTTTTAAAAAAAATATGAATGTTAAACTTAGCCAAAAATCAACAATGCCATCTACTATCTTCATTCTAAAATATATATGAATCTAGATCCAAAGAAAACATTTTATAATATTATGAATCTGAAAAAAAAAGACATAGCCAGAATTGTAGTATTAGAATATATTTCATCCGATTTTAGATTTTTATATCTAAGACGAAGGTAGTATGGCCGTGTTTAGTTCCCCATCCAAATTTTTTTGATGTATGTGTACACACATTTAAACATAGACTAATAACAAAACAAATTACAGATTCCGCTTGTAAACTGCGAGACAAATCTATTAAGCCTAATTAATCTATCATTAGCAAATGCTTACTGTAGTGTCACATTGCCAAATCATGGTGTAATTAGGCTCAAAAGATTGGTATCATAATTTACAAGCAAACTGTGCAATTGGTTTTTCGTCTACACTTAATGCTCCATGCATGTGTCCAAACATTTGATGTGACGGAAAAGTTGGAAGTTTGAAGTGAACTAAACACAACCTATATTCAAATAAGGGTTAATTGGATACATGCCATTAAAATTTTTATGGTTTTGAAATATACCACTAGTATTCATGTATTTGGAAATATGCCATTATAATTTCACACATATTCAAAAGATACCACTACTTACCCCTTGGATGCATTTCCAGATAAAAATGGACCAAACTACCCATTTTCCCCTCGTCTTACTTCTTCCCCTTTCTCCTTCCTCCTCTCTTCCTTCTCAGGGGCGACGCGGCGCGTCAACGGTAGTAGCGGCAGCAACGCAGCACGGTGCGTCGGCGGCGGCGCGGCGGCACAGCAGCAACAACGGCGCGACACGGCTCGGCAGCGACAGCGAGACGCGGCTCGGCGGCGGCAGCAGCAGCGGCGCGGCGGTGGAGCAAGCTGCAGCGCGCGCAGCGGGATGGCGGCGGAGCGAGCGGCGTAGTGAGAAGAGAGAGACGGTAGAAGATGGGGAAGAGAGAGAGAGGTAGAAGATGAGGGTATTTTTGTCCAATACATGCAAAATGCGTATCTCAGTGGCACCGCTAAGATTAGAAACAAGTAGCAATGGCATCGTTACAAATACGCAAATAGTAATGGTATATTTCAAAACCGGTAAAATTTTAATGGCATGGATCTAATGAACCCTTAAAATAAAGCCCCCTTTCCTCATCTTATTCCTCTACTGACCACCCTGATCGAGCCGTTACCAAGCTCCACCACTGACGCATGCTGAGCATGGGCTTCACCAGCACCACCTCACACTTGAACTCATGCGTACCCTCTTTTTCGTTGGGAGCCTGCATAAGCTTTCAGGTCATTCACAGTGCTCCGACGTGTCATTCGGCCAACCCTCGACACATTGGAGATCTGCGGCCAGCTAGACATCGCGTGTGACCAAACAAAGTTCGCAGAGCCTAGTTTGGGCACTCGTTATTTCGACGGCTCTCTAACAACTTGAGGGCAGGCAAGAGAATGGCGCGCCATGTTGTGGAGGTCATGGCCTTGCCGCGTTGTGGTTCCCCCTCCCCCCTCCCAGGGGCGTGTGGCCCCTCCCCCCATGACCGAATTCATTGGAAGCTCGAGCAGGAGATGGTGGTAGCAGTGGAGCCATGGAGGCAAGCAGGAAGCATACTAGGAAGACCGACGAATGAAGGCGACGACGACCTCGACCTCACCCATCCCGATCTGCGGCCCTGGAGGTAGCTCGTCGGCCCTGTCCCGCCTCAATCCGTGTCGCCAGGAGCTTGCCGGCTGCATCGATCTCACCCATCCTGATCTCTGCCTTCTTTGGGAGCTCATCGGCCCGGTCCTGCCTCGAGTAGTGCTACCGGGAGGACGATAGGAAGCTGCAGCACTGGATCGATCTGAAGCGGCGCAGTGCTAAGGTTGGGGAAGGAGTGGCGTCGCGGTATAGAGGTTGGGAAAGGAGCAGCGGCGCGGTGCGGTAGGTGTGTGAGATTCGATTGAGGAAAGAGTTGAGTGGGGAAAGTGATTTCATGGTGGGGCTGGCCTGAGAAAAAAATGGTAACATGCCCACCAAAACTACACGCACACTGAAAGATGGGAGCTTCATTTGCTTTTTACCTACGTGGAAGCTTGGGCTTCTTGATGAGGGCCAGACGCACTGCTATTGCCCTTATAGCGAGCTTTAGCTGTAGGGATGGGCATCCTGGCCATCCCCTCGTGCAACGAGCTTCCTGCAGCTGAGATGTACAATTGGTTGGAACTGAGGATGGTGATGTGTATGGATAGAGTTAGGCAGTGAGAAGAGAATGGAGATGAGCTAGGAAAGGATGAAGAAGAGGATAAATTTGGTGCTTTACATGGTGTGTTGGCAAAACAAAATGATTTTGTTATATGTTTGTTGACAAATTTTCTTTAAAATTTAACAAATATAAATATATTATAATTGTAATGTAATAACATTATAATTTGCATGTAACTTTAATATTACTTGTATGTAACCTTCACGTAATTTGAATTGTTAGATTTGCTTCGATAGTCGTGCAAAGAGGAAAAAACACGGCACATGTATAGGTGAAGAGCTTCGATTCCATGAACCCACTACCACATCACTAATACCCTTTTCTAAAGTTATATATATAAATTATAATGTAGTTATATAAAGTTTAAAAAATATAATTACACTATAATTATAATTATATTGTATTTATGTTTAATAACTTTTTAGAAGAAGATTTATCGACTAGTCCTAAACAGAAGCAGACACATAAGCTAGGGGACAATTTTAGTATTTACAAAGCCAAACTTTGGGACAAATGCGAGCACACCTCTTAAACACACCCTTAACTAAACTTTAGGTATAAGAGCAATTTTCAGTTCACAAACCTTGCAGCCCAACGCGTACGTAAGCTGACCACGCACTGACAGTCTAACCAAGCAGGACTGTCCCACAAAGTCAAAGCGAACCGACTTGACCTAACTGGCTACGACGAGGTCTCTACCAAAATGGAAACGTACCAGACAACATCCGGGAGACAGCGAGGCGACCGGCGTCGTACGTAGTACAAATTAGTCGTCGTACTCGTACCCTCAATTGCCCCAACCCCGCACCGTCGTCTCTTCGTTTTCCCATCGCAGCGGTGTTTTGCTCGTCGTTTTTCCTCTCGATCGGCCCTTGACCAGCTTGCGCTCAACTTTCGTGGTTTATTAGTCCAAAAGTTATGTCCACTTCTCGGTGCCGCCATGTGGGTGGTTGGTCTACCAAAGTTCGGGAAACTATTTTGATCACTCGATGGGATATCCCTCATTTGCTTAAAAATTATTTAAATAGTTACTTCCTCCATTCCAAAATACTCCCACCGTATTAATAAAGATAGTCGTTTAGGACAATGTTTAAGTCAAACCTTGGAAATATAAATCATGAATAACTCTTAAATTGTTGAGTTTGAAAATTTAAAAATTATATGAATAGATTTGTCTTGAAAAATACTTTCATAAAAGTATACATATATCACTTTTCAATAAATATTTTTATAGAAATAAGAAGTCAAAGTTGTATTTTAGAGACCGTGTCGCTGTCCAAAACGACTTCCTTTATGAGTACGGAGGGAGTAAAAGGCTCAACCACTCTTAATCTAAAGACCAAGAAATAATTATTATCATCTCATAGTTTGGATCACTCATGCAACCAATAGAATTAAATATATTGAGTATGGAGGATTCGAAAGAAAATGCTAGTTAATGGCATGTATTCATGTATTCCTTAATTATATTATGAAACATTTAAAAAAAATAGTTGCGCCTTATATAATGGAATGGAGGGAGTATAAAAAATTGTGGAAAAATTTAATAACACTTATACAACATATCTATATAACCCCACAAAATATTAAGTTCAAACTCAACTCATATATCGAGATATAAAAATATCAGCATATGAATAGTATTATACGGATCACATCTGAATTTTTCACTAAAGCCGAGTATTTAAACTTAATTTTTATTACCTATCGATTTTACTATATACTTTATATTATCAATTTTTTATAATTTTTTTTAACTATTTGTATCGAATTTGAAAGGAAAAAAACACAGGAATATCTCTTCGAGGGATTAAAATTCACTCCCACTAAGTCGTGGTTTCCTCCCAGCTGCCAGGCTAGCTCGCTAGTTGCACTGTGTCGCCGGCGCGTCGCAGATCCTATCATTCCCAATTCCCACGCGGTCGCTGAGCTCAGTTTCACAGTTTTCACACATATGTACAATTGACAGCCACAAGCTCTAATTTTGGTTAATTAATCAATTTCCTATTTATTTCATGGCATGTAGGAGTAAGTGTGTGTTCAGTGATGGCTATCGGTGGGTGGGTGGGGTGTACTACTCCCCTATAAAGGGAAGCTCGCGTCGCCAGAACTTGGGCACTACCACCACTCGCCTCACACTCACTCGCTCAGCACTACTTGCACCCCCTAGCTGAGATCAGTAGTAAACGGTCAGTCAATTGTTGCAAAGCGATCAGCTACTGGCGATGGCTCAGGGAAGGGGCAGTGCTGCAGGACGACGCAACGCCGCCGTGCTGGCGATGGTCCTCCTCTGCGTGCTCCTCCACGGCGAGCTCGCCGAGTCGGCCGTGTACACCGTCGGCGACCGCGGCGGCTGGGGCTTCAACTCCGGCGGCTGGCTCAGGGGCAAGCGCTTCCGCGCCGGCGACGTGCTCGGTGAGTTCGATCGATCGATTCAGTTTCTCGTCGATCGTGTCGTTTGAACGCTTTCTCTTTTTTTAAACCGTTTTCGTGTCGCCAACTAGCGCGGCGCGTAAGTGGTGCGCTACCTAACTGTTTACGTGACACACGTACGACTACTGCACTGCGGCTCATGAATGAGTCACCAACTGACCGATTGCATTGCACCTGGACCTGGTCGATCGAGCAACCACTCGCGGCTCGGCGTGTGCATATGGTTGGCTGGTTGCTTTGCTTGGCACTAGCGACTATCCCAACTTTTATTTTGGGGGAAATTTACAGAAAGCCGCCCCATAAATTATTTAGTTGCAACTGTTCACCCCTAGAAATTATTGTAAAAAACACTAATGTGCACTTACTGAACTGAAAGGGCCCCGTATCACTGATGTAGAACCATCAAAGGTTAAGCTAGCTAAGCCAATCTTGGATAAGTACTTGCATTAGACTTATTATTCATATTTCAATGTAGAATCTCTAAAAAAAGGTCAAGACTATACTCCTATAAGTATTTAAATTCAATAAAGATCGTATTGACGGCTCACAATTTATAAAAATATATTGATATGGTTAAACATGTGTGCAGTGGGATGGTCTTTAGAACAAAATTGAGTAGTCAATGCGTATTTAATAAAATAACTTATAATGTGAAATGTTAAGTTTTAAGTGACTTATGGATGGTTTTTGTAAATATCTCTTTCGCTTGACGAGTTCGGCGTCTACTGTGTGTGACGTGCACAAAACTGCCTCTACAGGCTGCAACAGAGCATTGTATTTTTCCCCTTGTAAGCACACGGCCACAGACAAATGCCATGTTCGATGTTTTGCCATTGACGAACCTTTATCCTAGAAAAATATACCATCGTCGTTACCCCGATCCATTTTTTTCTGAATGCCCAAAGTGTCCTCACATAACGAACTTGAGGAATTTTTTACATGCCTGAATACCCAAATGTGATTAGGCTGTAGATCGATGATTACTGCTAATCAAATGTTAATCGGGAGATAATAATCTTGACACGATTGCATATATCTCGCATCGCTCTCATGATCTCATCAATGTGACGAATGTTGTGCGTATCCATGCGTGTTGCAGTGTTCAAGTACAGCCCGTCGGCGCACAACGTGGTGGCGGTGAACGCGGCGGGGTACAAGTCGTGCAGCGCGCCGAGGGGTGCCAAGGTGTACAAGTCGGGCAGCGACCGCGTCACCCTGGCGCGCGGCACCAACTACTTCATCTGCAGCTTCCCCGGCCACTGCCAGGCCGGCATGAAGATCGCCGTCACCGCCGCCTGATCGGCCGGCCGGTCGCCGGAGTCCGGCGGGATCGAATGTAGTAGTGGCAATCTCTAAATATCCGGGAAGTAGATCCAATAATTCTGTCAGTGTCCTACGTTGCTGAATGACCGTCTTCGTGTTTAGGCCTCTGCTTTGTTGCAGGTTAGTTGATTGTTGGCAAGTATAGAGAGGAATATATGATTTATGTGATGTGTATTTTGAGAAGAATTTAATAAAAGCCAAACAGCTGCGTTCTGGCCCAGCCGTATATATGTAGTACAAGGTTCTGAAAATTGCTTTGTGTGAATGCGATGGTTCATGCATGTTTGTACCATCCTACATTCGTCTGTGGCAGTTGAGAGAAGAAGTTCAGTGAACTGGTATAACTAATTGGTGCAGAAGCTAATAACAGTCAAATGTTTAGTTTCAACATTGAGAAGCTCGCACTGCCGTCTTGAATAACAGCAATTTTATTCACACAAGAACAAACAATTTCTATTTTATAGTTATGCTCGTTCTGGCTGGAAAGAATTCAGATTTCATAGCTACAAGTTCAGTTCAGGCCTAGTGTAACCCAAGTCCATTGACTACTTGCAAACTCTGCCAGACATTGTAGATCGAAGCATTAGAAATTACAGGCAAATGCTTGATGACAATACTTGTATGTTTTACTACGATCTACAGTGTGCGCGGGTGTGCTCTAGTAAGCCTTCTAGTAATGAAACATTTTTTTTTACTATTCATTCGCTAGGCCTTCTAGTAATGAAGCCTTTGTTCTCGAGTCTCATAGTGTGAAGTATGCAATTTCTGTTATTCAAGACGGCAGTGGGAACTTCTGAACCAATTCGGTATACCAGTTCATTTCTGAACTCCTGAAAAACATGTGGCCACAACACTTAACTGTACAACTCTCACTTCTCATCACCAATTCTACTACAGTTTACTGACATCATCTATCTCCAGAGAATAATTAGTAGACAATAATATTGCAAAGTTTACACCAAATATCTAGCATTACTCTTTTTCCATGTACAATTGGGTTACATTGAGCTCAAGCAAAGAAATTAAACAGCTATCATGTGCTGGACTCCTGGCTTTGGATCATGTTCTCCTGGAACGTTGTATGGTTTCTTGTCATCAGATCAGCTAAGCCTTCTTTTTTCTTGCCATCAGAACTCAGAAGAACCTGAGCTGAATTTTACTAAAAAGGAACGAGATAAAAAAATAAACGGTGTTTGCAGTAATGGTGTCAACTATACATAACTTTGATGCCAGATCAGCTGATAAGGTTGATGTTTCTGCTGTGGCAAAAATCTGTAACATCAGGCAGGACTGACGGCATTTCCTTAATTTTCAGAACTTGCAGTCTTGTAGCATGCTCCATAACCTCAACCGTGCTAAGGAATTCTGTACAGTCGTGGATGGAGAAGCGGGTGAGATTCGGAAATGAGCCATTCCCCACATGGAACACCCTAAGCTTCTTTAGTCCACTGATTTTCAGGTACCGCAGCTCAGGGAAACTGTTTTGTAAACATGAGACCTCTGAGCACCGGAGCGCGTCATCCTTTAGCTTGAGTTCATAAAGAGTTGTGAGTGAGCCTAGTGATTCCATCGGGCTCAAAACAATCCACGAGCCAGATAATGTGATGCTTTTGATGCAACTGAAATGTGGATCTTCTAGCAGGAGATTGCGATGTACTCTTCCTTGTAGTTTTAGCTTATGAAGTTGCTCATGGCTCGTCACTGCTTGAACTATATCTGAAGTAATTGGTTGAAATGAGGCAAACGGCATCATTATAAATATTGAATGGAGATTCCCTAGCTGCCTCAGAGATTCGGCTAGTGCGTGGTTTTCATTCCCCATACTCGATTGTGCATTGTACCGATCAATATCAAACCCATTTGGGGACTCTGGTCTGTATTCAACTCCCCGCCAGGTCCTAAAACGTAGTTTCCTCAGATTTGTTAATGCCATTAAGTTCCTTTCAGCTTGTGAATTGGGGAGAATTATGACTCCATGTAATGTTTGTAAATTGGTAAGGCGTCTTATGTCAAGAGATACCCTCCAATTCAGGTAGATGTGCCGAAGAGTATCAAGGCTCTCCAATATACCTGGAAGCTTTCTAATAAACGTCCCCCTTATATCAAGTGTTTGTAGCAACGGAAAATTGCTTTCCGGAAATGGAAATTCACCAAGATTAGTATTTCTCAGGCTCATGTATCTCAAATGGTTCAGATTACTTTGGACACTTTTAAGATCACATGCCAATCTCTCGTGTCCTTCAAGTTCAAGAACTCTTATGTATTGCATGCTTGTTAACTGTTCCAAGATGTTGTGCTGGAAACCCCACAGAGGAAACAAAAAGAAAGCGTGACAAAATGCCCTGCTAAAAGGCCTTAATGCTTGATGACCAACAGTAATCACACAAGATTCAATTACTCCTGGAAATATTAGCAGAGATCTTAGCTTCTCACTGTTACTTAGTTCATGAAATGCAATAAGTTTGGTATGGAGAGCGAGACGACGATAGTATTTTCCTTCTGCTCTTGAGACTGCATCACCATTTTCACAATAAAAGAATCGACTCTCTCTTGCTTCTGATCTTGCTAGCTCACATAATAGGCCATGAATGCGGACCCTTTTGAAACCCTGCTTATGCGCAGGCAACAAAGGTTGAACTAGGCACCTTTGTATGAGTTCGCGTAAATAGTCATTTGCTGTTTCCTCTCTTGTTTTTCCATCTTGCTGAGGTATAAAGTCATCTCCGATCCATAGTTTTATCAGTTTAGAGACACTGATTTCAGTTTCTTCTTTGAAAGCACCTAGATACATGAAACACAGCTTCATATGATAAGGCAAGCAGCTGTAGCTTAAGGCCAGTATCTCCAAGCACTGATTCCCAGCTTCGTAGTTGCTCCACTTCATGCTCTTCAATATATTCCTCCAAACTTCGAATTGCTTTTCCTTCCCAGATAATAGTCCTCCCAATACCACAAGAGCAAGAGGCAACCCTCCGCATTTCTTCGAAAGTTGGTGCCCTACATCCTTGAGCTGTGGTGGACAACTTGTTGTGTCAACATGATTCAACCCAAAAACTTTGGTAATGAATAGCTGAAAGCTCAATTCTTCACTCAGTGGATCTAGCTCATAGGGAAGGGAAGATGGGTCAGCAGAAACCGCAATTTCCTTGGAGCGAGTGGTCAGCAAGATTTTGCTTCCATTCGTAGATTTGGGGAAAGCTTCGCTTAATTCAAGCCAAGTTTCTGTCGTCCATATGTCATCTAGTACAATCAAGTATTTCTTATGCTGCAGAAACCTGAACATGGCATTTTTGGCTGCAGCTACCTGTGTCGAGTTCAACTCAACCCCAATTTGAGCTGATGTGATCTTCAAGAGGCCTAAAGCATCTGCGTTCTGCCCAACTGGAACCCAAGCACAAGCATCAAAATACATCTCCACACTACTTCGAGAGCTCGTTCCTTTCGGTGAATCAGGACGCAATGAGGTGCCCCCTGTTTGGATTGCAGAAACCTTATTGTAAACCAGAGATGCAAGTGTGGTTTTTCCGACCCCTCCCATCCCCACTATCCCAACCACTTCACGGTGTGCTGTGCAGCGCAGCAATCTATCGATGATCATGCCGGCCTCCTCCTCCCGACCAACAACGACGTCGTCGCCGAGGTGGCAAGAAGAACGCCTCCACAAGGAATCGGCAGCAGACGTGACACTACTGCTGCTGCTGCTCATATCCCTTAGCTCACGTAACATGGAAGCATTCTTGGCCCAACCATCTATGATCGATTGGAATCTGGATTTGATCTCGTTGATTTGCTTGGCAAATCTGTAAGAGTTCAAGGGCTGGAGGAGAGGGTTCAGAGTGTGATACCTCCCCTCATGGAGCTCCACGCTCTCGATGAGGTCCTCGGCGTCGTAGGCGGCATCTCTGAGGGAGTGTAACCAGAACCAGTTGTTGTTGGATGTGGCTTGCCGACGGATCTCCCTCAGGTCGGCATCCTTGAGGAAGCATTCCACTGCCTGGAGCTCGTGAATCAGTGAATCCACCTGCTCCTTCACGCCCCACAACGAGGTGATCCCCGACAAGGCTGTGGTGCTTAGACGGTCAACGAGGCTAGAAAGAAAAGCACCTTCTGCCATGGCTGCTAGCCTGCTACTCCTCTCCCCTTTGGTTGTCCGAGGTATGAAGCAGCAGCATCCATCGTATTTCCATGGAGGTTTTCAAGGATCCTTTTCAGAAGGCATAATTTTTTTGGGTAATTTTTTGTACCATCACCATGTACGCTACCCATCTTCTTTAGAAAAAGGAAAATTTCACCATCAGATAAGTCGTACCCATCCACTCCAGTCCAAATTCCTACAGCTGATCGGCTTATTTTATCCTGAGTCATTGACTCATTGTCAGGTTGATCCAGGTGCTGTTCTTTTTACCAGGGTGGTGTGTTGTTTTTTTAAGGCCCCGTTTGACTTAAAACAAAACATAAGAATTTCAGCTCCATAGAAAAAACTTCTCTGTGAGCCTTTGAAAGAAAAAGATCGAATCCTATCAACTCCTCTGAAATGGACAATCCTATAAAGATTTTAGATTAAAGCTAGCAAGAACTCCAACCTCTTACAAATTTTCCTTTGAATCCCCTTGCCCGCCACGATGAGGACTCGCCCGGATCTGGGCCGCCGACGCGTGAAGGGGAAGGGAGGGCGTCGTCAACGAGGAATCGTAGTGGCCTGCGTGCCGGGCGTAGCTGAGCTGGGCTGCGTTAGGCATGAAGAATAAGGCGGCATTGGGGCTTGATTTGGAGAGGGAAACCGATGGCGATCTCATCCGCGACGGCAAACGGCCGCCGGCGGCGAGGGGCGCGGAGAGCTGGGAGAGCGTCGGACTCCCACACCACCGACCACAGGGACCTGTTTGCATATTTCAGCCGTTGGATCAAGGACCTATCTGAAAAATTACGGTCCAGTCCACTAGTAGGGACTAGGGACTAGAGAACTAGGGATCCTGGTGGCAAAATGGGCCAGGATACGGCCCAACGGCCCAGCCCAGCACTGCACGGGCACGGGAGCTCGTGGGCCGTGCCGTGCTTGGGCCGCCATTCGGCACGGCCCGTTTCTGTAGCGGGCCGGTACGGAATAGTAGGCGATGACAAATTGTTGCTCGGCTGTTGCCATGGTGCCCTTCCGGCGGATCCGTCGGCCGGCGGCGAGCCGGCGACTGGATATATTTCTTGAAGACAACAAGAAAAGATTTGCTCTTTCTTCTTTACTCGTAGCGCTGCGCGGCCGTAGCACCCAATGCGATGGACTACAACCCGATAGCCCTGCAGCTGTGACTGTGAAAACTCGTGAGTCATGTGATCACGGGCCCGTGTCCTATGCTCGGCATTGAAGCTATACACATTTACTGCTACACTTTTTACAGTCTTCTGTCACCGCTGCTTGCCCTCTCTGCACAGCATTGATTATCAGAAATCCAGACTTGGCATTGGTTCTCCCCCGGCATTGGCAACCAGCCAGCCTCCAGCTACACACTGACACTGCACTCCAGCCTCCGTAGGAGTACTTCAGCTCACTATAGAATGGCAACGGCAATGGCATCGTTACCTCCAGGCCCCAGCTAGTGCAGAGATTTCTCTTCCTTTGCCCAGTTTCCAGGCAGAAGCATCAGGCCAAGAGCTCAAGACCCAACCAGTGTAGTGGTTGCAGTCAGTGAGTGAGTGAGTGACCAGTGAGATAGTGGCATCGATGGCTCGGGGAAGAGGCAGTGCAATGCGAGGCGCCGTCGCCGTCGCGTTTCTCGCCGTCGTCGTGAGCTGCATCTTCCTCTCCGGCTGCGGCGTCGCCGACGCCGCCACCTACTACGTCGGCGACAGCCTCGGCTGGTCCCTCGGCAGCGGGAGCTGGCCCAGCGGCAAGAAGTTCCACGCCGGCGACATCCTCGGTAAATCATAGGAGTACTTATCTCTGAACATTTCGATCAATCTCTGAACATTTTTCTCATCGATCAGACAAAGCCAGCTGTAACTGAAACCGTTTTGCGGACATGGCAGTGTTCAGGTACTTGCCGTGGATGCACAACGTGGTGGCCGTCGACGAAGACGGGTACGCCGACTGCAACCCGCCGCCGTTCTCGAGGTACTACACCTCCGGCTCCGACAGCGTCAGGCTCGCCAGGGGGGACAACTTCTTCGTCTGCACCCGCTACGGCCACTGCAACCTCGGCATGAAGATGGTCGTCACCGCCGTGTGACTGAGGGAGAAACATGTCAAGACTGTTTCGTACGTCTCGATCGAGCGAAAATGCTGTGAAATGTCACACTCTCTCTATCTTGTTCCATCCGGTTCGTTCTCAGTTTTTAGCATTTTGGATGATTGATTAGAGGATTCTCTAGCTGTTCTATGCCGGTGTGACACGACTCGGTTTGCCAATTGTGTGTGCATTGTTGACGCTGACAAGATGCGTTTGTTCTGAAATCTGAAGAGAAGTCCCTGTCTTTGCCACTGATGATGATATCTACTGCAAATTCTTTAGCGAAGATAGCAGTTAGGCTATGTTTAGATTCCATTTTTTTCTTCAAACTTTTAACTTTAACTTTCCTACACGTAAACTTTCAATTTTTCTGTCACATTGTTTTAATTTCTTCAAACTTTCAATTTTAGTGTGGAACTAAACACAGCCTTAGTGTTATCTATTACTCCCTCCGTCCCATAATATAAGGGATTTTGAGTTTTTGTTTGTACTATTTGACAACTCGTCTTATTCAAAAAAAAATTGGAATTATTTTTTTTTACTTACTTTATTATCCAAATTACTTTAAACATAATTTTTTGTTTTTATATTTGCACAAACTTTTTGAATAAGACGAGTGGTCAAACAGTGCAAGCAAAAACTTAAAATTCTCTATTTTATGGAACGGAGGGAGTAGTATATGGTGATTTTGTTAGCGCAACGCCGATTACCGATTAGGGAACACCGCAACACCGGACATTGCGCACTGACGAATGTTCTTAGGACTTTGATGATCTGAACATGGAGATATAATAATTGTAAGTCACATGACTAACCAGCCGATTAGTTGGTACTAAATCTGATCCAAATCTTCTGTTGACGTCCCGTCAATTTCTTTGGCATCATGTAGAGTAGACATTTGGTACACTGGCTTGGGCTTTTCTGAATTTAAAATTTAAGTCATACAGAACTCTTTGCGACTTGTGCTGCAAGAGTACGATCAAATTGACCATGGTTTGGTTGTTAATAACTCTAGCTGCTCTACCAGCTGCGCGTGGAAAATACATTTTGAGAGACCAATGGAAGACTTAACAACCATTGTCTTACCGTAAGCACACATCGATCAGCCATGACGCAGGCACGAAATTAGCGAGTCTATCTCGTAAACTTGAAAATGATGTACTAACTATACTGTTTCATCATATATATAGTTTCGAAATATGGATTGATCTGGTAATCGATGAATCAGAAATATAGCAGGCAAGCTTTTATCTTTTCTGAAGAACTCATCAGAGAAAAACTCACCTTATTAATTCCAAAGCTTCTATGCGTCTGCATGCTCTTCTGATCTGTAATCTCAGGCTCTATTACTCTCTCCCTCTGCTAAATAAATGGAAATAATTTACTACCTCTGTTTAAAAATATAGCAACTTAGTATCAAATGTGACATATCTTATTATTATGAATATATACAAATCCTTATCGATCAATATTATGTAACTATATATTTTAGAACAGAAGTAGCAACAAGATATTAGGTAACTATATATTTTAGAACAAGAACAGAAATAGCACATCTCGTTGCGGCGAGACATTCCAAACGTAAACCTCGAGTTGTCCGTGCTCGTGGTCTCCAAAAAAGAACGAAATGCTATGCCAATTGCCAATATGCCGATGAATTCAAGACGGCAATCTTGAGAAGTCATTTCACTTTGATTTTTGGAAAGCCACGTCGTGGAGTCGCGGGCTACGGCCTACGGGTGCTGGTCTCGTTCAAACACACTGAAATATCCCTTGCAGAGAGGATCCGTTAGCAATATCGCATCAGGCATGACGTATTGAAAAAAACGGATCTACCGTTGACTTTGGACAAAATTTACTCAAACAGTAGCAAAAACGATCTCCAAATCGATCGATCCTTTTCTTTCCACACAACCAAAGCATCATCTGTCCTCATGAAAAAAAAAAGATCTTTAATAGAAAGAAAAAAAAGTGAAAAAAAATAAAGAGCAGTGGCCCAATAGGTCCAAGGAATTGGTCAGAGCTTTCTTGGGCCGGAGGGCAGGCACAGAACAAGATTCTGGAACCTTCTAGACGCACCCGCTGCCCGTATAAGATAGGCATCCACGCCGCACAGCCTCCAAATCCAAATCCAAAAACCCATTATAATCCATAAACAAACAATCCCCTCCTCCTCTCCAATCTCCATTCCCTCTCGAGAAGAAGAAGAAATCGCAACAATTTGACGGCCATGGCGGTGTCGATCGAGCTGACCAAGGAATACGGGTACGTGGTGCTGGCGCTGGTCGCCTACGCGTTCCTCAACTTCTGGATGAGCTTCCAGGTCGGCAAGGCCCGCAGAAAGTGAGTCTACGCCCCTCCCAGATTTGGTTCATTGCTCTCGCTCGTCTTGATTTGGAGAGAATTTTCGATTGGGATTTTCTCTGAATGTTCTTGGCTGATGCTGCTGCCATCAGGTACAAGGTGTTCTACCCCACCATGTACGCGGTCGAGTCGGAGAACAAGGACGCCAAGCTCTTCAACTGCGTGCAGGTCTGTCAGTCTGTCGCCCCACCCAACCCCGAGATTGCTCCTCGATCCGTTCTTCTGACCGATGAGAATTTTGGTGGTGTGTGCAGCGGGGGCACCAGAACTCGCTGGAGATGATGCCGCTGTTCTTCGTCACGCTGCTGGTCGGCGGGCTGCAGCACCCGCTCGTCGCCGCGGGGCTCGGGGTGTTCTACGCCGTCGCGAGGTTCTTCTACTTCAAGGGCTACGCCACCGGCATCCCGGACAACCGCCTCAAGATTGGGTACGTTTCTTTTTGCGAATTTTCCTACTGGAGATTTATTCTGTGTGCTGTGCTGGTAATTAAACTGTCGCTCTAACGAAAGATGATTCGTATGCATAGCTAGTTCAAACTTAACCTTGATTTCTAGAATGCTAGTCCTGTTCGTTTCTTGGGTAGCAATAACCAATCAGCCAACACTCTGAAGTCTGAACTTTGACTTCATTTATGAATGGTTCCCCAAGTACTGATGGTATTAAGTGGGGTAGGTGGTCAATGCTCAATTAAGTGGAGGATACAGTAGGTGTAGTACACCAAAGAAAAATGTCAAAGGTGCGTGTTTAATTGGTGATATGTCAAGATTGAGGAGTGGGTGACAACGTGGAGTAGCTTTGAAGTGGATCATACAGTATACTATTCAACATGGTACGGATCGTGCAAATGTCCCCATCTCTTCATTTTATAATCTGTCAAAGATCGCAGCTACTTGTTGGCACGACGTTGATGAAACTTCCAAAGTTTACATATTTAGTATTTCATTACTCATTTCAAGAGGTATATATAAGGTGTGTCCAGACTTCAGACTTCAGACTTCAGACTGCTCGAGTCGTTGCTAAATCGCTATTAATTATGGGTTGACTCGTACGTCAGTGGGTAATGCAGATTGCAACCCTGCACCAATCACCACAGTTATGATAGTCTAGTCTATCGGTGTCCTTTGCATTGAGTAGCAAAGAAAGGATCACTTGAACTGAAGTTTCATCTGAATTTGCACCAAATGGCACACCTATCACTTTGTCAACCATCTCATATCTTGGTTTCTGATCGATCATAGTGGTTCTAACCTGGTCGGATTAATTTTTTGGCAAATGCTTCAGGGGGCTGAACTTCTTGGCGATCTTTGGGTTGATCATCTGCACGGCTTCGTTCGGCATCAACCTGGTCCTGAGGGAATCCATCTGAGCTCTTCAGTTGATCCATGAGCTGACCAGCTGAGAGCTTCCGTTGCGACTTGTGATGTTGCCTATAGGCGTATAGGTCTTGTGACTTCAGTCAGCTAGATTTTAGTCTCTGTTTTTCCTTTGGTGTTAATAAGGCTGGTTGTAGTTCCATCTTAAAAATACGACTACATGGAGATGGATTTGCAGTCTTCCCTGTTCCTTTCTACTCTACTTCCTTTGTAGAGGGGTTGTACTGTTAAGATTTACCTTTCACCACATCATCAGTGTTAAGTGCAGTTGTAAATTTCTTTATAAGTTTATCATGTCTTGTCCTGCGATGGGAAATGATTAACAACGTCAATGCAGTACGTTTTTTTATATTATTTTCCGTCCTATTTGAGCGTCCATTCCAACATCAAACGCTCTAGTGAAAGACAAGTGTGAAAGAGTATCGTCAACTTCGCCAGTTACGGAGTACACCATATAGTCCAAAACGTTTGGTAGAACGACCAAGATTTGCTAAAGGCAGATTGGCAGTCATTGGAGTCGTCGACAAACAGCATCAACGACAAACAAAACTTGTCAAGACGTGAAAAAATAAAAAAATCTTGTACTCAAATCTTGTTTGCCTGCAGACCTGAACTACAGGTAACATCCAATATGTTTATTAGATGTCAACAGCGGAGCATATGGAGATCAAAATGACTTGCTCCATCCATACTCCATAGTAAGTTTATTTTTAGCTCTTTCCATTTGTCCCAAAATAAATTTAATTTTAGAGTAATCATTGTATTGAAGTTTGTGAAAGTAGAACATACTGTATTAGAAGTAGATAAAAGGCTCGTTCAGATTGATGTCATTTCAAACCATACTATTTTTTTGGTAGAGTTGTCAAATATGTGCATCCATTTAGTTTTTTTACCAAATTTTAGTAAATACATAAGAAATTCTGCTAAAATTTTGGCAATATTGCCAAATTGCCAAAATTCAATAAGGTTTATTTTGGCTACAATCTGAACAGCTCCAAAATCCGAAATAATTACATTAAGATTTGATAAAGTAGAAGTATTCTAGTTTTTTTTTTGTTTTGTAGTGGTATTTATGGGATTGATAAAAAATGAACTTATTTGGAACTAAGCAGTATGAATTACAACCAAGCTAGTCTAACCATAAAGTGCTCGAGTAAATAGTACACAGTACATAATGAAACTATACGCTACATGGAAAAATATCGAAGTTATATATATCTATCAGACTATCAAATATCCTCGCTTCTACCAGCAGTGAATCTCCTCTGTGCTGGTGTCGCCCTTTTGCTCACAATATGCCTGCGCTGCCCTTCGTACGGCAGGACATCCTCGCTGTCATCCTCCCTACCGTTACCATCCTCATGAATCGAGTCAAAAATTTTGCTCTTGCCAGTGGATCTCCCCAGGGTTGATGCTGCCCTAGTGCGCACTTTGGCACGTCTGCGCTCGCCTTCGTCTGGATCAGAGCCATCGTCCTCCCGATCGAAAGAGTCATCAAAACTTCTACTTCTGTCAGCCCCTCTCGTGTTCCTCCACCTATTGTGTCCGTGCTGGCTGTCATGGGTATCATTTTCGGGGCCTTCATGCTTGCACTTCAAGCAGACCTTGTTGCGTCGAAAGTTCACAAAGCTGCATCTATAGGAGGAGATGATGTCTAGTTAGCGTGTTGAGGAGATGAACAGTAAGAAAGATTGAGGTAGTCGTATAACATACGAGGGGCACTCCCATTCTCCAGGGATGAGCTGCCTCTTTGGTCGAGATTCTTCACATTTAAAACACATCTTATTCCGTGCAAAGTTCATGAAGTGGCACCTGAAACAAAAATAAATAAGTTATCAAGGCAAATATATAATAATGTTGAACAGTACAAGAAAACAAATATGGCATTCGATGGTTACTGTGGACAGATCCAGTCTCCCGTTTTCATTTCAGTGGTAGCTGTTTCTATCTTCTTTGGTCCATCTGCTTTGCATTCAAGGCAGTGCCGATTTCGAGCAAAATTTAAGAAGTTGCAACTGCCAAAATGAGAGGATGTTAGGACAGGGTCATTCACAAGGCATAACCAGGCATCAACAGTCCAGCACACACACACACACACGCCCACGCACACACACTGTGGATGGGGAATAAAAATAATAACAGTGAAGTAAACGATAAAAGAGGCCACCATAATATCATAATCTTCTAACACCATAGTTAACCATAACCTGATATCATCTAAGAGGTGTGCCTCTATGATCCACAAAGAACATTACAAATATTGTAAAGTCCATAGTAATACTAGAGGTTTCTTGTCCAACCATTTAACTCAATACTTACTTTAAGTACCGTGCAATTTTCTTTGTTGAAGCAAAGACATATTTACACTATAAATGTACTCCCTCCATCCCAAAATATAGAAACCAAGTACTATGAATTTGGATAGGGAGGTCTAGATTCGTGTACTAGGTTGTGTCTAATCCAGTACTAGATTGCTATATTTTAAGACGGAGGGAGTACCAAAGAGCGACTACAAGCCGAAACCCAGATTATCTGGATTCACTCATTGAGAAACTGTTACAACCAAGCATACAATGAATCCTATAGGTTTAACTACAACATCGGGAATAAGGCTCCTAGATTAGTATGAAATGGTTCTTTCTACTCCTAGTATCCACCTTGTAATAATCAGAGCATTGTGGACAAAGTAGGAAACAGGTAATCATATCACAACATTAGATATGAATTTTCAAACGTGTACTTCCAAGCATGCCTTACTTTAAATAATCAGTACTTCTGGATCTGGTTCAAATTTACATAGGCTGTTTCTGCACAAACAAATAGTCTTCAAGCTAATAATGCAGAATGTTGTGGGCTGGGATTTCATTGGGTAAATACCACCGGGAAGATAGCCGAATGGCATCGGATTGATTGGGATGAGAGGAGATTATAGGTTGGAGAGAACTTGAGGGAAACTAGAGTTTAACCTTCTTTATAAAACTCAATTCCAAAAGACTTAGCCCTTATATAGGCTGGCACCTAATCCTATCTAATCTTATCTCCAAGCAACTAACTCTAACAGCTGCTACAGTACCTTGCGGGTACTGTTCACGTCATCTGAAGAGGGCTCTCCTTGGGCCTGGTCATCGGCCGTGGCCTCCTGGCCCAATGCCTAACACAGAACAGTAGATAACATATGCTACAGCATTATACAGTGACATCTTGATGGTATTGCCAAGCGGCCAGGCATATTGGACCAAGTCTATTAGCACTATTTTTTTTCTCATTCTACAGTAGAATACACTCGCAGCTTACGCAAGAATCAAACACATACAGCACAGCTCAAACAAAAATTCAGAAAGCTTAATAACTTGAGAGAAGCTAAGTCCAAAGAAAATCTTAGCTATCAAATAGTACAATACTCAATAAACAGAACCATGTAGGAGTTGTACTACCTCCGTCCCAAAAATATAAGGGAAAGCTATGCATTTACATTGCCAAAATCCCTTACATTTTGGGACAGAGGTTAGTATCGTTTTTGTAAGTGTAGTCATAACATTATATTATGATTAGCAACATTTCTATGGTACAAACAGGCATACAAACCAATGTCATGGCATGGCTTATTAGATGAATTAGTTAACAGCATTCAAATGGGAATAAGAATGAAATCCAAAATGGTAGTCAAAGATGCCCTTCTGCAACATGATGAAAAGCTAAAAACTCATGGTGTTTTACTTGTGGCAAGCACTAAAAGTAAAGCAATTCATCAGAATGTGATAAACCTGGTCAGAAATAACTGGTGCTAACAATGGTATTGATTCCTGGTTTTATAAACTACCTGAGGGGATCATCAAAAGGCCAATTTATGCCCTTAGCCCCTCACATATTTCATATGATAATGTATCGGTGTAATCTGACAGTTAAATATAAATAAAGTAAGAGTAAATTTCAGGAAACCCCATGTTTTATGGTCAAAGTTGCATAAAACCCTAGGTATTATGACTGGTGACACATAATCTCAGGTATTATGGTTCTAAAGTTTCACAAATCCTCACCCCTATGACCTATGTATGTTGAGCACAAATTTACTTAAAATTCTAAAACATGGTGCATATGAAAATTTTAATTATTAAGTTCTTGACTAAGGCTGATAGTTTAACTCTTCGCTACATTGAAAAAAATGTTTCAAACATGCTGAAACTAATCAAGATTTGAATAAGGTGGGGTTTTATGAAACATTGACCATAAGACCTGTGGTTAAGTGTCACAAATCATAGCACCTGTGGTTTTCTGCAACTTTGACCATAAACCGTAAGGTTTTCTGGAATTTACTCATAAAATAAAGGTTCATAACAATAGGCATGGAAGCATAACACCCAGTTACTATAGTACTATACCATAAAAGACTTACTTTGGGCAAAGCCAATCACCCTTCTTCATTTCTGTTTCAGTTGTTTCCCTACCCTTTCCAGCTGAGAACTTAGGCTTTGCAATGCCCTTGTCAAAAGTTTTGGTCTTGCTAGAAGTTTGGAATACAGGTTTAGGAATTGATGGATCAATTGTTGTGTCGCTAAGCATAGTAAGCTCTGAAAGAAGCTTTCTCGCAGATTCTTGAACACCACCATTAACAGAGTTTTCTCCTGAAAGGCTGGTTGGATCTATTGCATAATTTAGCAGTATGCGCATAACATCGACAGTACGAGCTTCGTCTTCAGCGTTCGGAATGACATAGGCTTTATCACAAGATCCACGTAATTTGCAAGCACTACAGGCCTGTATAAAGCACAAAATATTGTGAATGTTTTTTGCAAAGTCAAAGTAAATTATGAGAAAAGGAAGCAGCACGTTACGCATAGAGGAAAAGTCAAAAGTCCATCGCAGGGAGAAATGTGACAGTTGTGAAAAAAATCAAGAGTCCACTACAGGAAGAACGGCAATACAGTATGTTCAGAACAGAACAATTAACTTACATCTCCTTCATCAATCTGAAGAAACTCTCTGAGTCTTTTTGCAGAATTCACAGGCTTCCGGAAGATGTTAGGACAGCCACACTCAACAATAGCACGGATATCCTGCTTGGGAAGGACACTGGCCCAATAATCCAGTCAAATTAAGATCCAACCAACATAGAAAGAAATGAGTACTTGCAAAAGTAGTGGGCACAAACAGTCCAAAGAATCAGTTATACCACTGACACACATGACTCCAGCTTTCATTTATATTATAGCTTCTCTGGATAAAATGTATTTTGTATTTAATAAAATAGCACTATGAAATGAGTTCATGCTTAGGGACGTGATCATCGACAAGTTCTTACCAAACATGCACAATAATCATAGAGGAGAAAGGCAAAACAAACCATTTAGCTTACTAACCAAAATGTAGACACAGAAAAATCAACACTGCATGCCATGCTAATGGGATTCTCGGGACATTGGGATTAGGGAGAACAATTGACTACTCTCAGCTCACGAATGTCCAAGTTACCGAATCTTACTGCTTTTCTACCAGACATGATCATTTCCGCAACAATTTCAAGTGCGTGACTAACGCAAAAACCTCACCCACTAAGCAAAGTATTAAACTAATTAAAGCCCAGTTCATGCACAGAACCGAGGCGATAATAAATTGCAAGGCATCCATCTCACGGGCAAATAACCTGAGGAGATCGAAGCGCTCTCGGCCGAACTTGAGGCATGCGTTCTTCAACCTGTTCAGGTCCTTGGATGGGTAATTGTCGGCCGAGGCCCCAGGGTCCTCCCCCGCCGCCGCCGCCGCCGCCGCGGCGGTCGCAGCCACCTCCCCCTCCGCAGCATCAGCGCGAGACGCGAGGGTGGGCTGCTCGAAGTACCCCTTGGCCCGAAGCTTCTCGAGGAAATCGCCCCACTCGGGCCACGGATGATCTGGTGCTGCGGCGGCGGCAGGAGCGTCGGCGACATCCCCCGCGGCGGAGCAGAAGCGGAGGGAGAGGAGTGGGCCGGTGGGGAGGCGGCGGGACGGGGCGGGCAGGAGGGAGGAGCGGAGGAAGGAGGAGGTGAGGGTGAGGGCTAGGAGCTTGGAGGAGGAGGCCATGGCGGCTGGGTGCGATGGTGTCGGGGAATCAGGTGAGCAGGGATGGAGGCGGGAGCGAGGAGGGGATTAGGGTTTAAGGGTTTAGAAATGTCGCGGTCTCGTTTAGCGTCCGTAGGAAACTAGCAATTTATCATGTTTTTGCTTCAATTTTCAAGTTGTAACACCGTTTTATACAAGCTAAATTTCTAAATGCAAAAACAGTAGAAAGGTATTATCTTCACGAACGGGATTTTCATGTAATTTAACACGAGCCAACAAATTAAATTTAATACACAACTCTTAGCTTCTACTCCCTCCATTCTAAATTAATCATCTACGTATTTATAAGATAGAGTAATAGATAGAAAACTAAGTGGTATAATGTATAAGATATGAATTATCTCTATATTTATACTAATATTGTGTGCAAGTTATTTTAGAGAGATTATCTTCATAGTTACAATGTGAAAAGAAATTATCAATATTGTGTGCAAATTATCTTAGAGAATTTATCTATATATTATATTATCAAAGGAAGAGGAAGCCATGGCAGTATTGTGTATAAAGTAGACTTTGAAAGCACAATTGCGTTAGACATATCGAACAACCATTAACTTATATATGCATTGATATAATTATACTCCTTATATATTCGATCAATCATGAATTAAGCAATAGCTTAACTGGTTGGTTTTTTTTATGGTGGAACCTATCCAACCAAATTCAAATATAAAAATTACGATATAAAATAATCCCTCTATTTCATATTAATATATATGTGTGTGTTGATTTATTACCATATATACGAATGTGGGCAAGGCTAGAAAGTTTTATAATATGAAACGGAGGAGGAAGTAATACGTATGTAAAATTCACTATTAATTTGGTTTATATAAACACTAAAATCGTACATGCATACAAACAAATCCAATATAGTCGGTCTCACAATTTTATTTGTCAACATTAATAGTGTGCATGTTTAATCAATCAACATTAGTTTAAGTGAAAACATTAATATTTTTAGTCTGGTTTTCATATTTTCATGATATAGCATAGAATACATATTGTGTTATTTTAAACCTAAGCATCTATGTTTATTATCTTTTTACATGATTAAATGTTTAGAGTTCTTTTAAGTTTGCCCCCCTCTTCTAAAGCTGCAATCCACTCGAAAAGAAAGTAGAGCAAGCTAAAATGCTTTCAGAAAATAAAGATGGAACAGGATTTTACACTGTTCCACAACTTTACTCCAAACCTATCGAGTTAAACAATAATAAGTTAAAAACCTGCTAAGACCCTGTTTGATTTAGTTTAGGATTATTATGAGTAAACTGAAACAAATAGATAGCTTATTATGATAGATTATTACAATCTATAAGCCATACTACTATAATCTGATAATCCACTTTAAAGATGATTTTTTAAAAAATTATTGGATAGCTAACAGCTAACAAATAGCTACTAATTAAGAGACATAAAGGTTATGCTTATTATAATCCAGCTTATAGTGATATAGCTAAATAATCTAGATTACAATAATATTATTAAGATGCTCTTAATCGAGCTAACCAGCCTTTAAGTTTGGAACAAAAAATCAACCTATGTGTAACCCTTCTTTTGCAACCGATACCCGGTTAGCCGCTACCAGAAACCCGCCCAGCCTCCAGCCACACGGCACCACCACCACCGTGTAGCCACAAAACGCCCACACATCCCACCGTGTAGGTGCGCTGCGGTGGCGTTGGCGTTGGCGTTGGCCGGTGGGGTGGGTCAGTCCGGTCCACGCATCAGCCTCCCAATCCCCACCACCACCACCACCGCGCACACAAACCAGAGCCAGCGCCCACGAATTCCGGCCGAGCCAACCAATCCCGCGGATCTGATCCAGCCATCCATGCCTAGCTAGGTCTAGCCAAGCCAAGCCAGCCGTCCCGTCTCCATCCCACCACCTCCCCCCCTCCCGTCCGCCCCGTCCCGTCCGGCCGCGCCGCGCCGCAACCCAACCCCCTCGTGGCCTCGTCTCGCCTGCGTCGCTCGCTCGATCCGTGCGCGCGCGCGCTAGGTCGCCATGGCCTCGGACCAAACCCTCCCCGTCCCGGTCTCGGTCGAGCTGCCCCCCGCCGCGCCCAACCCTCCTGACCCGACCGCACCCCTCCTCCCGCACGCGGACGACCCCTCCGCACCCCCCGCCGCCGCCGCCGCCGCCCGCAAGCTCCCCGTCAAGCGCCGCTCCCCGCCGCCGCGCCCCTCCTCCCCCTCCTCCTCCGACCCGGCCTCCTCCGACCCCGCCGCCAAGCAGCAGCCTCAGCAGCCGCCGCCGCCGTTCAAGTTCCAGCGGATTTGGTCCGAGTCCGACGAGCTCCGCTTCCTGCAGGGCCTCCTCGGCTGCGGCGCGCAGGGGCTCGTCTTCCCGCGGGACCTCAACGTCTTCTACGACCGCTTCTCCGAGTCCATGCCCTCGCCCTACACCCGCTCCCAGCTCTCCGAGAAGCTCCGCCGCCTCAAGAACAAGTTCCGCGGCATGTCCGCCCGCGTCGCACGGGGCCTCGACCCCGCCCGCCTCGCGCCGCACGACCGCGACGTGCTCCACCTCTGCTCCCGCCTCTGGGACCCCGCCAACGCCGCCACCTCGCCCTTCGCCGCCGCCGGTGACGCCTCCTCGGGGAACAAGCGCCGCCGCGCCGCCCCGCGCGCCGGGCCGCTCATGCCCCCGGATCCCTCAGGGGACAGCAATTCCCATGATTACAACGGCGGTATTAGCGCCGGTACGCCCGGCGCATTTGGGGATGGGCACGGTGGTGAGGAAATGATGTATCTTGAGCAGGAAAGTGGGCACTTTGGTTATCATGGAGATGTCGCGATTGCGGCTGACGGAAGCCTTGATGGGATTGTGAAGGTGCAGCCTGAGACTCTTCCTGCCCTCCCCAGTATCGGGGACATTGCGGTTCACAGTGAGAATGGCAACGGCAAGGCCGTGGTGCCACGTAGCAATGAGCATCACATGGCAAATGCCGTGCTGGATATATTTGAGGAGTGCTTGCGAGAGGTGAAGGCCAATGGCATTACCTACGGTGCTAATGTGAATGGGGGCAGTGAACTTGCAAGGCGATGGAGAGCACAGAGGATTGATGAGCTTGATGTGTTGAGCCGGAGGCTAAGGTTGCTTGTTGAGGATGCTGCAGCGGCTGGTCGCTAAGCGGACATACTGGTGGTTTTGGTGACGTGCTTCCGCCCTTCACCCCATGTGTATAAAATATTAAAATCTAGATTATTATGCTATATGCTTTTGTAGTTCCTCACTCAGCTTGGGCCTTGCCTTAGTCAGCCTAATATGCCTATTATTTATGCCTATGTACATCGTCTACGGATATTGCCTTTTAGTTTAATTATTTCATCAGCATAATATATATGGTTCCAGCATTGTTATCTATACAGCTGCCTGCTGTTGCAATCGTTTTATTTTTAATTTACGTTTCTGATAACTTGTTCATGTAGCTTCATCCATTCACCTTCTTTTGCTTCCATAACTTATTACTTATAAGCTGTGAAATAACAGAATTTTGTTTCCTTGTCAACCACTTTTATCCTCTTCCCTTGGAAAAAAACCACTTTTATCAAGAGTTTTTTCTTACCCAATCCCAGTGCTATACCTATAATTGCTTAAGCTTTCTATACTAACTAAGCATGAACAATTGACGACATTGCATAGAAAATGTTTTATATTATAAAAATATGCTCATAATATAGCTCTACGAGTGTGAGAAATTTGGGAGTAGTTAGTATGAAGTCTCTGCATTTCATTTGGTTGTCATATGAAGTAATGATATTGTTCTGTTTTGGTACTGATAGGAGCAGTCAAAAGTTTCTTTTCTAGCTCATTCTGTAAGCTGAGTCTAATTGATTCTTTAAGACATCGATCAGATGACCATTTTAAACCAGTTGCCTTTTACGGTTTTGCATTGATTATACATTTATACTAGTGAAAGAGCCAAGAGGAGAAGTGGAGAACAGGGTAGAGAGGCATATAACCCTTGCCTGAATCCGAACAAGTTTGTGAGTTACTGAGTTAGATGTTTTTTGGAATATTGCTGAATAGAATTTGTTTTGCCAATAATAATCGCTCTGCCATCCTCGCAGACTATCCAACAATATTTCCATGACTAGGATATTTTGAAGTGAACTGTATTTTGAGTTAAAACATTATATATTTGCCAATAGTTCACGGATAGAAATTCCGTAGTGGATCTTGGTAGTGATTGGTCTGCACAGTTGATAGATCTCTGGGTGCTTGCAGCAGTTAATCGCCTTACTGTGGAGAAAGCATTAGGGCCAACAGATTACCTGCTTTGCACAGATTGAAGATAATGTGTAGAATTGGTGCCTTGGTATCCCAGTTTGACTAACATCAGAATGCCTTCTCATGATAACTGATTACAGTCCCTAAATTGATATGCTTTTGAAGTATCTATTTTGAATTGAAGCTTGGCATGGTTAGCTTATATGAAGCTTCATATCTCATTTGCGTGCCATTTCAGGATGTGTAGCAATGCAGTCCTCTTTTGTTTTCACTCCGTTAGGCCCCTTGTCAGAGGACTGTCTTCTCTTCCATGTTTTTGTGCTAAACACAAGCATGCCATTCTAAATATCAGTGTGCATGCTTAATGTAATGTTTTGCAAGTGAATTGATTTTTCAGTAAGATGGTGCTCCATGCAGCCTTTTTTTTTTGGCAGGCAGATTTGTGGCTCATGTACAGTTATTATGAGATATTGGGAACAGTGGTTTACTTTAAATGTCCTGTTGACCTGGCAAAAGGTCGGGACATCCATGTTCTCAACTCTCAATCGAATGTGTTTTTGTTTGCACTATGTATTATTCATATTTTTTATGGTTCCTAACTGGTGTATTTTCCTGTGTAAGTACTGTTGGTTTCCAGTGGTCTCAGCACACCATGCAATCGACCAAAGGTCTTGAACGACAGTTACAATTTCAAGCATGACATATGTACTCAGATAAGAGAACCGCTATGTGTTCAAAAAGATAAAAAGATGCACCATTTGCAGTTTTAATCTGTTTTTCCCCCGTCCTGTGACAACAGAAAGAAACAGATCAATCGAGTATACGTTTGAGTGGCAGTGATGACTGAAGTTAGTCAAAACCTGTAAGGTTCGGTATACGTTTGACCGTAGCAAATGTAAAATGATTTGCAGTCCGTGCATTTCGAGAATAATTTGAAATGATCTCCGCGTGTCAATCCCAGTTATGAAATTGTCCACTAATGTCCTGTTGTAACTTTGTTGCATCTTGAGCAGAACTGCATAATGCAAATGGTCTCATACGGCAGAAGGTTGCCAGATCATCTCATTTTTTGTCAACTGTCAATTTGTCATGGTGCGATGAAGATTCCATGGATTACCTTTGAGTTGTCAGGTGTGCGGCTGCTGTGAACTATAACTTGGTAGCATTATTTCTCGGTACCTAGGAAATCTTGTCTTCATTTTTGGGAGTGAATACTTGGACACAAGTCACACAATACATGTATCCTGAAACTGGCGTACAACAACGATAGATCTAATATCGGAAATGCTCTACATCGCTTCGACAGACATTTTTGGGCAAAACCACATGAAATCGTTAACCTTGCGATTTAGGGGCTGTTTGGTTGGTTACCACACTTTGCCACGCCACACTTTAGTCATGCTACAGTTTTTTAGGCATGTGTTTGGTTCGCTGCCGCAATTGTGTTATGCCACACTTTCTTAACTTTGGGACCCACATGTCATGCTCTCAAATTTAGAGCTAAGTATGCCACACTTGTGGCTAACTATTTCTAAGCCACATTTGTGCCACCATGCCTAAACTTAGTTATGGCAAGGTTAGGCATCAACCAAACATCCCCTTATTCTTTGATTCATGCTTCAGTCGTACTCTCTTCGTCCCATAAAAAAACCTACCTAGTACCGGATGTGACACCTCCTAATACGATGAATCTGAACATACATCTGTCCAAATTCGTTGTACTAGAATATGCCACATCCAGTCTTAGATTCACCTTTTTTGGGACAGATGGAATAGTAGTTTTAGATGCATTTAATAGTGCGGGTGATAAGAGGTGTGTGGTTTTCAACCCTAAGGTCTTGTGTTCAATCCCGACGCACTCACATTTTCTTCTTAAAAAAATATTTGGAGGGATGTCTCTCCCTTCAAATCTCACTTTTTTTTAGTCGTAATAGTTTGAGCTCTCAAGTGTTAGGTTTTGAGGTCAGGCAAAGGGGGAGGGGGATGGCAGGTGGCCATAGCAGAGCTGCGAGGCGGCCGTGGTACGGTGGTACCTCGTTAGCCGTGGCAGAGGAGGAGGGGCGGTGGGGTGGTGTTGGCAACTAGTGAAACTCGTTATTGAAATTGAAGTATCGGAATCAGATAAGATAAAGTGGTGATACATTTGGGTTATGAGGAGGAGAGAGCGGCATAGGGGATTAAATATGGCATGGCGGTTCCATAGATGCTAGAGGCGACACCAGGGAGGAAGAGGGTGGCGGAAGACCCACATGTTGGAAAAAAAAAACTATGCTGAGTGACATAGATAATTTCATCTGACAATGAAATTTACAACTAGTAAACTAGATGCACAATTACATCAGATCCTGAAATTGGCCACTCTTTATTCCTATGTTAAAACCTCTTTTATTGGTATTTGCTCATTTAAAATCCTAATAGTACTACCCTTCTGTGCTTGACCGTTGTTTTTGTCCTTGGTAGTCGGTCCGGTTGCATCCAAACCTATGATATGGTCAATTTGTTTGTCCAAATCGTTTGTCTAGTGGGCTCTGGGCTGTTCTGCTCGCTCTGCGGTCACCATTTTACTTGGTCCTCTAAGAAAACCGTTTTGTTTTAGTTGTTGATTGTGTTGAACCATTATATTGTGTTCAACAAATAATGTGATTTTAGCTCTAAGTTCTAACAAATGAACATCACAAATCCAGTTGATACTGGAGTGCTGGAGCTGGACATATTGGTTTGGCTGGGTCATTGACTCATTAAATTTTAGTTAATTATGGTTATTTGATTTGCTATCAGTTTTGGAAATGTACAGGCAACCAAGATATGTAAGTATCTAGTTTTTTTCGGCATTGTTAATTCTAAATTATAGTTTAATTGGTCAACAAAACAAACACTCTCATTATCCCTTTACATGATTCTAGGTGTACATATTTCTTGTTTTCAGTAATACTAGCATTAATTATTCCTTTTATAAACATCACAAAGCCAGTTGATGCTGGAGTGCTGGAGCTGAAGATATTGGATTTGGTTGGGTCATTGACTCATTAAACTTTAGTGAATTATGGTTGTTTGATTTGCTTCTCTATTTTGAAAGGGTATAGGCAAACAAAATTATCTTTTCTTTTTTTGGCACTGATAATTTTAAGTTATTTGTTGAATTGGACAACAAAACAGACACTCTCACCATCCCCTGACATGATTCTAGATGTACATTTCCTGTTTCCAATAATACTAGTAGCATTAATATTTTTTTCCAAGCTTTACACGTGCGTGCACTAACATTGTAATGATGCACCATCACGACATCTTCGATGAAGTGATATTTTTTTCTCGAGTCATCCTGTTTTGAAAAGTACAGAAAAATTCCAGGGATACTAAATTAATCTGAATGCGGATTCTTTTTGGTCCCTGTTACGCCTAATAGTTTTTTTTTAAAAAAAAATTATTGGGAATACGTACGTGCGAGCAAAGTAAAGATGAGCTTTAGAGAGCTGGACGCTGGAAAGCTACAGATAAAGCCACACTTAGGCGCTCGTCAATTGTCACCGATGGATGAGTAGCCGAAAGCAAAAGATACTAGGGGACCTCAATATCCATTTTATTTCTTTAGATAAATATCCATTTTATTAATGGCATAGCATTAGACCAATTCTCTATTAACATTCCCATTCACTCACTTATGATGATGTCAGAGGAATGGCTGGCATCAAGATATTGGGCCAGTTAGAAGAGCTTTAAATTTAGATTATAACAAGCAACTGGTGGGCTGGAATTTGGAGAAGCTAAAAAAACAAGCTTTTGCCTTCGTTTTTTTTTTTGGATTATGTTGTTTGAGGAAGCTTTTGATTTTAAAATAAATTACAGGAAGCTCCCCACATGCCAATTGTAGCGGGACATTTTATCGTATGGATTTACTATCGTAAGATGCTTATCAGTTATAAAAATATATGATTTGGGGCATATTTGAAATCATTATTTTTAATTTTTTTAGAATCAATATCTTTCTAAATGTTTTGATTAAATGCATCTTATGTGTAAAATTTATATAAGTGTTTTATAATATTATACTATAATTTTATATGTTTTTTTCTAATATCTTATAGTAGAACCAGTGCTCGGAATATATTCTGAAGACTGTTTGGATGTACAAAATGACATATTTTGGCATAAATATGCCCTTTTTATTTCACTTACGAAGTTATAATGGACAAGTTTGGCTCTATGGTGCATTTTGTTAGCTATATTTTAAGAACTAGCCAAATAACTGTGTGTTGCAACGGATTGTAGAAGATAGAAAAAAAAGTAGTTCTCATGGTTAAAAAGGGAATACTTATCTCTACCTGGTTCAAATAAGATTCTTCATATTAAAAAGAAAAACGTAGACCACCTGTTTTTTAGGGGTTACTTAGTACAATGATCTCATGTAGTGTACCTCATGACCCCATATATCAATGGTGGTGCTGCTGTAGCGTACCTCATGGTCCCACATGTCAATGGTGGTGGTGGTAGTGATAGTTAAAAAAAAAAAACTTTGACGGTAAAATATAGCATATACTGCAAACTGCAACAAGAAATAATTCTTTTTCGTCTGTAACTAAAATAACGTGCAATACGGCAAGACAGACCAAACTTGCCTCTAGATTGCCGAACTTGCAGCAAACACAAATGGCTACCACGTGTGTGTTTTATAGGGCAGTTCAGCTTCTTGGGTTCTGAAATCCCCGCTGTTTTTGTCTCTGCCAACAGCAGATGACTTGATTCCAGCTCTTCACTGTTTGATTTTCCGTTTGTCCGTTCGTCCACGTGCTTGCTTGATCCAATGCATTCAAATGTCGCGCCCCACCTGACCTGTCGCAACTCATCACTGAATTACTCAACATTGAATCCTTTGTACCCAAATTACCCAAGTGTGATTTTTTGCTTGAGCTGAATGTGCGTGAGAATTGTTCGTTTCAGTGCAAGCTCACCTGGAGAGTTAACCAAGGGTATGTCTTGTAGATTCTGGATTTTGTTCGTACGCCTCTTAGAAGCGATGTTTTTTTTTTACAAAAGCTTTTTATATATAATTTTTAATATTAAATTCATTCGTTCGTACCGGTTAATAGTTATAAAAAATAGATTATCTATCAATTGATAACCCAAAATTTTTATATTGAGCTGTTGAGGGCTGAACGCCTTCTTTGAAACAGAAGGTTTTGGTGAGAATTAACTAATAAATCCTATAATGTTCATGCATTCTTTCCGGGACGAACTCTTATCATTCAGAGTGGGTTCAATTCAAGCACACTTGCGCTATTTCAGCACAAAATTCAGCTTGGCCTAAAGTTCTCAGCCAATCCACCCACCAAAAACACTTGCATGATGCATGTACGTGGCTTAACAGCCACATCGATTGGCTGATTTGAGAAAAAGGCGAAATGACATATTCACAAACAAAAAAATTTTATAAATAAAATATATATATATATAATCTTAACGATCTAAAAAAAATGCTAAAAAAAATAAACTACGACTGAAAAAAAAACCAAAATTCTTTAAATTTAAGATCGAAGTTTAATTTTTTGCTGATAAGCGAAGCATAAACAAAAAGATAAAGGGAGTGACTATATTTATGGCGCCATATTTTTCATCAAAAAAAAATAGTCGGCATATATTTACATTGTAAATCTCTAAAGTACATATGTAATTTTAGTGCATTTATAATGTAAGTCTCAAAATTACATATGTAAGTCCTAAAATTACATATGTAAACTACAAAATTATATATGTAAGTGGTGTGTAAGTGCAATGTAACTATTGTATAAATTTGTGTAAATATATAAAAAGTTAAACTAAAAAAGAGAAGCGAGGGATATCTCTGCCCATGCCGGCCGTGATCTACGGACGTGAGTCACCCACGACGCTCGCAAGCGCATCATGCGGGTCAGACTATCCGACTGAAATCGAACCCAAAATGTGGCGACAGAGATTTAGCAATACTGAAGATAAATCTATAAGACTGGCGGAATGTTCAGACAGTTTCAGAATTCAGAACCCATCCACTGATCCGCACGCCCCTCACCACCAAAAGTCGCACAAGGAAAGGAGTGGCTTGTCCAAGCCCCTCCTGCTCCAGCCCGGTCAAATGCGGCAGGATTTCCCCCTTAATCGCCGCCACGTTCTTCCGGATCGCGACTCCTTCAGGTCAGGGCAGCGCTAGAACAACGGACGATCCACTGATCCGGTCGTCTTCGGCTACGAAACGGCCTATAGTTTTCGTTTAGTTCTTTCTTTCTTTTTTACTGGTCGGTTACTCACTTCGCCGACGTCGCCGTCCGAATGCGACGGAGCAGAATCTGAATCTGTGTACCTGTGGCCGTGAGGAAAAGATAAGAGAAGAAAAAAAAATGAAAAGCAGTACTGCGTGTACGGTGTAACGGGTCATTTTTTTCTTTGCTGCGTAGTAATGTCTGAATTCACCGCCTTAATCCTGTCACGAGCACAGTCAAAAGAGTGTCATTAACCTTTTCCAAACAGAGCAATTACCAGCTAATTATGGCGTCACCCCCAACGTTCGGCTGTGTGCTCGTCTAGGGCGGCTTGATTACGGCCATTAGGGCTTAATAATGCGGATTAGTAGCTCAACAATCCACCCACACACACACAGAGCTTTGTTTTTCTTTTATTTTTCTTTTTCCACTGGTGATATTTCTCTGCTTCCAAGGCTTCCGGCTTTCTCTGCCTATAGAGGAGCTTTTCACCAAACTCCCCTTTCCTTCCTCCTCCTCTTCTCCCCCTCTTCTCACTGTTCTTGTGAATACTTAGATGATATCATCCTGTCACTGTCACTAGTCCCACTTCTTCCCCGCGTTATCAAAGATTTCAATCTCTATAGGTTCTCTGATCTCGTTCGCAATCCCAGATTCCATCTGTAAAAAAAGTCTTCTTTGTTGCAATCCGGATTGATAGTCTTGAGGAGGTTCTTGTTCAGCTTTTTAGAAGGAGCAAGTGGAGGAGCAAGGCTTTGTTTTTTGTTTTTATTTGCTGTTTCTCTTCATCGAACGAGAAGAAATCGGCAGTTTGTGGGAGTGGCTTGTTGTTCTAGGAGAAATCGTGGTTGGATCGTGTTCTTTGCTTTGTTTCAATCCGATTGGCGACGGGCGCCGAGGGATTTAGCGCCAAAAGGAAGGAATTTCTGTGCTTTTCTTCGATTACACGGCGAATTCTGGGCGGGCGAATTTGGCATCTTTTGATCGCATTTTGTTCCCTGGCTGGCGAGAACACCGAGAGCTGGGGAGATGGTCTCGGAGGCGCCCATGGCGGCGGGCGCCGTCGTCGTCACCGCGGCGCTGTGCAAGAGGAGCAACCGGGTCGCGCGGGTGCTCGCCTACGCGCTCCTCGAGTGGATCCTGATAGCTCTCCTCCTCGCCAATGGCGTCTTCTCCTACCTCATATCGAGGTTCGCCGCCTTCTTCGGCCTGGCGCCGCCGTGCGCCCTCTGCTCCCGCCTCGGCGTGGACAGCCTCTTCGAGCCCCGCGGCGAGGGGCAGGGCGCCGGCGCGGAGCCCCTGTGCCGCGTGCTGTGCGACTCGCACGCCGCCGAGGTGTCGCGCCTCGGCTACTGCCGCGCGCACCGGCGGCTCGCGGACGCCGGGGACATGTGCGAGGACTGCGTGTCCGCCTCCGCGGCGGCGGCGGCGTCGTCGTGGATGAGGCGGAGCGAGCTCGGCGAGCGGGACCTGGCATGCGCGTGCTGCGGCGTCGCGCTCGAGAGCGGCTTCATCTCGCCGCCGTTCTTGTTCCCCGCGCCGGCGGCGTGCGACGTGGACTGTGGCCACAGGAGAGACGCCGCCATGGCAAATCTCAATCGCGATCTGGTCTTCGTGTCCGAGGAGGGCCCTGTGATCGAGCTCTTCGATGAGAAGCCATTGGAGGAGGACCCGATCGGCGCCATGGCTGGCTTGGCAGCTCAATGTGCCGAGATTGTTGGCAATGTCCTGCAGCTGGTGCCTCTTGAATCAGCTGATTTGTCAAATGTCAGAAAGAGTGCAGTATCATATGAATCCCGTGGTGAAGGGAATGATGCAATGGATCATGTAACTTCGAAGCAGCGCAATGTGGTGCTGAAGAACATGGCTAACACCAGTGAGGATAAATCCGCGGTGTCCTCTGATGATGATGACAAGGTGGGTGATATGGTTAGTAAGATGATCGACGAAGAAATTACTGCGTTAGTCCTCTCTCAGGATTGTATTGAGGATGGATTCAGCTGCGAGATAGATGGGGAAACCACGGAGAGCTTAGCTGCTGATCATCAACAATGTAAGGCACTCTTTCCTCTGATAAACTTGCATTCATGGTATTCCGGTTTACCAAATCTGTGGCTATAAATATCACCTGCTATTGCTTTGCCACATATGTTTTAATTGTACCGCCATTTTCACTACATATATACTAGTTCTGTTAACCATTTCGATACTACAATTTAATGCAGTTTCTCTTGCAAATTGTCATGTTACTGTGATGGGGATGTTCATTGAATACCCATGCCTAGATTTCAAATTTTAGCTATTGCAACATCGCTTGGTACTGTAGACTGTAGTTGGCATTCATTTTTCCATCTTGCCTGTACTGCCACATTTGTACTGATGAACCTTTATTGAAAGAAAAACGTGAACAGCCTGAACTAACTGAATGTTGATAGGGTGAAATGGACGTTGTAACAAAATAGAAGTAAACTCACGCCACTAAATGTACTTCGAGTTGTTCAGTGCTGGTTGTTTTGTATATTTAATGTTACTATGCAATCTGCCTTGATTTTTGTTGCATGCAGTTTGTGAGAAGCATAGTGGATTGAAAGACAACAACCAGGAAATTTCAATCGGGAGTGAGATACCTGAGAATGAGCAGGGTGCTGTAAAACAAGAATTGCTTTGCGTGCTGACAAATCCGAGGGGGAATGAATTTGGTATTGACAATTTAGAAGGAAATACTGAGACAGTTCATCAGGCTGATCTCAATAATGGATGGAATTCGATGCCAGTGGAAGCTGGAGTGCATGCCTCTGAAACTTCAACTGAGAACAATGAGGAGTGGATTCAGCCAGGTGAGCTGAGCCAGAAATCGAATCTGATGCCGATATACTCTAGGGAGCATGCTGATGAAGAAATTAAAGAGGACAGAATTTCACTGACTGAGATAAAACAAGGATTGGACTCTGTGACAATTGATTCTTGGGAAGAAGTTCATTTGATTTCAAATGATGGCACCAAAGAGAATCAGGCTGAACAGCCTGAGCTGAATCATCAATCAACTTTTATGACAGTACGTGCTATTGAGTATGTAACAGACTTGTTTGATGCTAACATCAGTGCAGGCAACGGTAAGAAATAAGATTTTAATCATTTGGTTTGTATCTTTTGTTGACTTCTCTAGTGTGATCAACTGATCATCTTTTTTTTTTCAAATTGATCCAGTTAATCCAACAGAGGCTGCTCTACCAAGCTTACATCAATTCTCTTATGGACCATCAACAAGCTTAAACAAATTATGTCCTGACTATAATGATGTTGAATCAGAGAGTGCTCCGGATACACCAATTCACATTGAAGATATCGATGGTTTACATGAGTTGCCAGACCATAAAGCAATGACTTCTGATACCAAGTCAGTTGATCTGGAAAGTATTGAACTGGTTAGTGTTGATCAGTTAAAATCTGCTTTGGCATCTGCACATAAATCTTTGAGCACCCTATATACTGAGCTTGAAAATGAGAGGAGTGCAGCTGCTATCGCTGCTGATGAGACTATGGCAATGATAAATCGCTTGCAAGAACAAAAGGCGGCAATGCAGATGGAGGCAATCCAGTACCAGCGACTTATGGAAGAACAATCGGAGTATGATCAAGATGCGCTAGAGAGGTTGAATGAACTAGTTGTGAAGAGAGAGAAGGAGAAACAAGATCTGGAGAGAGAGCTCGAGTTGTACAGACGCAAGGTTCATCTCTTTGAGGTGAAGGAAAGGAGAAAAATGTCCAGGCACAAGGCTGATGACCACAATGGGTCATCCTCAGCATCATCCAGTGCTGAGGACAGCGATGACCATTCCCAAAGTTTCTATGAAGGCGATGAATCTGCCCATGGTCTTAATGGAAGCAATGGTAGTATCCCTACTGATGCTGTGTTACAAGAAACTGCTAGGCATCTGGGGACACTTGGTTGCTCACTCGCAGATTTTGAGGAAGAAAGACTCTCCATACTGGAGCAGCTCAAATTGCTAGAGGAGAGGCTATTTGACCTCGAAGATGAAGATTCAGATAGTGTTAAGATGGACAAGCGATTATCAGAAGAAAACCATTTGATGGGTGCCTCAAATGGTTTCTCTGATGATGATAGCAACTTCAAACTTCATGACAAAAGAAAAGGTGTAAGCTATAGGGGAAAAAAGCTGCTCCCATTATTTGATGACACTACCGTGGAAGATGGGAACGACCTCCTAACAAGGCAAGATCCTGAGGCAGACCATTCTACAGAAAATGTTGTGTTGGAACCAGCTAATGAGCAAGATAAACTTGCAATAGCGCATGAAATTGATCAAGTCCATGAGCGGCTGCATGCTCTAGAGGCAGACAAGGAATTTATAAAACAGTGTGTGAGGTCTTTGAAGAAAGGAGACAAGGGGTTTGATCTTCTTCAGGAGATCTTGCAGCATCTTAGGGACCTGAGAAGGATCGAGCAGCGTACAAGGAACTCTGGAGAGCTCTCACCGCATTATCTGCACCCTTACACGGATTGAAGGTAAAAAGGTGCAGTTCATATTCATGATTACTTGACGAATTTTCTTTTCCACATGTATAGTACAATAGTTGTTTCTATTTATTCCACATGGATATTACTTTAGTACAAACTCTTTAGTTCCAGAACATTGAATAGACAAAATACCACTTTACTAAAAGAAGATGTGCAACCCCACAAACTCCTTTTTATACAAATACTAAATGTTCACCAAATGTTCCTGCCTAACAATACCACATTATATCCAAACTGAATTCTGTCAGAACCTTGATTCTTTCTTGCTGGTTCCAGATCATCTGCAGAGCGTTATGATCATGTTCGAGGAAAATGCATTGAAGATGAAAGCTATAAAACAACGAAAAAAGATTGCTGACTAACTAGTATTGTCATGCCAGAAGTTTGGCGCAGACCAGGAGGGAAAGGAGATCCACCTGGTGCTCGAATTCTCAAGTTGGTTCGGCATTGCCGTCTGGATGGCAGATCATGGAGCAATTCTGCCTTCCAAAGGTCCAGGTTTTTTTTCGCGGACCGCTTTCCACGTCCTTTTTCGTTTGGTTTCATTATATGAGGGGATTGGGGGGGGGTTCCAAACTTTTACTCAAGAACAAGAGGGGTTGGTGAGCTGCCCCCTCCATGAGTTGTGTTTTGTGGCAAAAACCATGGCTTGTGAAAAAGCCTTGGAATTCATTAACACGAAACATATGCCTCTGCCAGCTTTGATGCCAGGTAGAGTGAGTATAAAAAAAAGGCTAAAGAAAAAGGGCCTCAGTGCCTTTCTTAGTTGTTCTGTTTTTTTCCCCCTGTAAATTTTCTAAGTTGTATGTAATGCTTTTGGAATGTGGGTTGCTCTTGAGTGCATTGTGCATAGCATCATTGTCTGATGAGCATTGGCTGTAACACGTACGGTTATGGTTTTGCTTATCTGTTCCCTTTCTTCTCTCTCGTTTCTTCATATACAAAATGCAAAATACAAACACGAAGTGCTAATTAATTATGGTTATGGAAAGCAACAGGTCTTGCATGATTTGGTTTAGCTGTCAAAGAAATCATGAGATGGATGGACCATTTGGTCACCAAAAAAATCTGTTGTTGGGTGGACCTGCCAGCTCTGCTTCTGCCCTACCATGTTAGTATCATCCATCGTTCTTTGCAATTCCTCTGCTAGCTTGACAAGATCAGCTGCTGCTGCCTCTTGCATTGAAAGCTAGTAGCTGCTTGATTCTTGACAAGCCACTAAGCTAGCCTGGACAGTGTCGTTGTAGGCTAGATGTGTCGGCACGCTCGTACAGGTTTTTTTTTCTCGTTGTGGGGCCCACATGTAATTGAGAGGGTTCGTTCTGATAGATAAGGGGCGGACAGGTTTGCGAGCTGCGTCGCATCTACCCAACTGATCCGACAGTGATTGTTTGCTTTGGCGTTAAGCATGGGTTGATTAGAGCAAGCCCTGTTAGACTGATACATGGGCCCCGCTGCTTCTCCCTGTTCACTGTGTAGAGTGTAGGCGCAAGCAACAAAGGTTCCCTAGACTGTTTTGGGTGTCACTGGTTTGGCGGTTACAGCACAACCGTGCGATTACCGTGAAGTATACCGTAATTTTAAAAACTGAGAAGGTTACTGTATGTAATAACCGCGATAGCAACATGGTTTTGTAAACCTTGCAAGCAGCACACGCTATGCTGTTTAATTAGTTAAGCATCTCTAGTTAAGTTAGATCAAATTTCATCGTGAAAGTGACAATTTGAAATTTAGGCTTTTAGCTGCCCTATATTGGAGTGCAGTAATTTACGTTGTGTTAGTTCCACGCTAAAATTGGAAGTTTGAAGAAATTAGAACGATGTGATGGAAAAGTTGAAAGTTTGTGTGTATGAAAGTTCGATGTGACGAAAAAGTTGAAAGTTTGAAGAAAAAAGTTAAAATCTAAACTGGGCCTTAGAGGGAAATCATTCTTTAGGACCCCTTAGCAACAAATGAAAACTGGAGAAATATTGTAGGATTGGATACCTATAGATAAAAAAAACTATTTGGTCCTTTGGAACAAAGGAACGATTCTTCCAAATTCTTTTCAAATTCCTAATCAACGCACCATTTCATATGGATCTTGAAGGAAAACAAGTATAAGGTTCATCCTCATCATCACTGGGAGCACTTCCCTTCCTGTACATTTGGGGCAAATTTTCAAGCCCAAACCCCCAAATCCACGAATCCACTCCGAATTCCGGGATTCCGACGCATCTGGGCTCATTTCACGGCCCAAATTCACTAGGTCGGTGCGGCCTGCACGGCCCAAGTAGACAAGTAGTAGCGCCCATCTGTTCGCCCATTCCCGAACCCGTCGTCTCGTCCTCCACACAAACCCTCCCCAACTCCACGAATCCCGCCGCCGCCGCCGCCGCCATGAAGCGCGCCGCCGACGGGATGGAGAAGCCCAAGTTCCTCACGCGGGAGGAGCGGGAGAAGCTGGCGCTCGAGCGCCGCCAGGCCGCCGTCACCGACCAGCGCCGCTCCGCCCTCGACCTGCTCCAGTCGCTCCCCCGCCCCCCTCCGCCGCCGCCGCCTCCCCTTTCCAACCCCCCTCGCGACTCCTCCTCCTCCCACCACCGCGACTCCTCCGACCGTGACCGTGACCGTGACCGGGACCGGGATCGGGACAGGGACCGGGACCGTGACCGGGAGCGCCGCCGCGACGACGACTCCCGCCGCGACCGAGATCGGGATCGGGACCGCGACCGAGGCGACTCCTCCCGCCGCGACCGCGACAGGGAGCGCGGTGACCGCGACCGCGACCGTGACCGGGAGCGCGGGGACAGGGACAGGGAGCGAGGGGACAGGGAGAAAGATCGGCTGGAGAAGATGGCGGAGAGGGAGCGGGAGAAGGAGCTGGACGCGATCAAGGAGCAGTACCTGGGTTCCAAGAAGCCCAAGAAGCGGGTCATCAAGCCGTCTGAGAAGTTCCGCTTCTCGTTCGACTGGGAGAACACGGAGGACACCAGCCGCGACATGAACTCGCTCTACCAGTCGCCCCACGAGGCCCGCCTGCTCTACGGCCGGGGATTCCTGGCTGGCATTGATCGCCGCGAGCAGAAGAAGGTGGCCGCCGCGCATGAGAAGGAGACCCGTGCCGAGCAGCGGCGCAAGGCCGGTCTGGATGACCGCCCTGAGGACGACGCAGTTGATAAGAAGGAGGCTGATGCTGCAGCGAAGTATGATGCCTTCGACATGCGCGTGGACAGGCACTGGACTCAGAAGTCTCTTGATGAGATGACGGAGCGGGATTGGCGTATATTCCGTGAGGACTTCAATATATCCTATAAGGGTTCTAAGGTACCCCGTCCCATGCGGAAGTGGTCTGAGAGCAAGCTTGGTACTGAGCTGCTTCGTGCTGTCGAGAAAGCTGGGTACAAGGAACCTTCGCCGATTCAGATGGCTTCCATTCCACTTGGTCTCCAGCAGCGTGATGTTATTGGTATTGCTGAAACAGGCTCTGGCAAGACTGCTGCTTTTGTGCTCCCTATGCTTTCGTACATTACCCGCCTCCCACCCATAAGTGAGGAAAATGAGGCTGAGGGTCCTTATGCTGTTGTTATGGCACCTACTCGTGAGCTTGCTCAACAGATTGAGGAAGAGACTGTGAAATTTGCGACCTATCTTGGCATTAAGGTTGTGTCTATCGTTGGTGGTCAATCCATTGAAGAGCAGGGTTTTAAGATTAGGCAGGGCTGTGAGGTTGTTATTGCAACTCCTGGTCGGCTTCTTGATTGCTTGGAGAGGAGGTATGCTGTGCTCAACCAGTGCAACTATGTGGTTCTGGATGAGGCTGATAGGATGATTGATATGGGCTTCGAGCCGCAGGTTGTTGGAGTCCTTGATGCTATGCCATCGAGTAACTTGAAACCTGAGAATGAGGATGAGGAGCTTGATGCAAAAACGATCTATAGGACTACCTATATGTTCAGCGCCACTATGCCACCTGCTGTGGAGCGGCTTGCTAGGAAGTACCTGCGGAACCCAGTCGTTGTCACAATTGGTACAGCTGGCAAGGCCACAGATCTCATCACACAGAACGTGATCATGACGAAGGAGTCAGAGAAGATGTCAAGGCTCCAGAAGATACTCACAGATCTTGGGGATAAGCCAGCCATTGTGTTCTGCAACACAAAGAAATCAGCAGATGCTCGTGCGAAGGATCTAGACAAGGCAGGCTTCCGCGTCACAACACTACATGGTGGGAAGTCACAGGAGCAGAGAGAGACGAGCCTTGATGGATTTAGAAACCGGCGGTTCACTGTTCTTGTGGCAACTGATGTTGCCGGGCGTGGTATTGATATTCCCGATGTTGCTCATGTCATCAACTATGAGATGCCTAGTTCAATCGATACATACACACATCGTATTGGAAGAACTGGACGTGCAGGAAAGAAGGGATTGGCAACTTCGTTTTTAACTCTGGAGAACACTGACATTTTCTTTGATCTGAAACAGATGCTTATACAGAGCAACAGTCCTGTGCCACCTGAACTTGCAAGGCATGAAGCATCCAAATTTAAGCCAGGCTCAGTTCCTGATAGACCTCCAAGACGAAATGACACAGTCTATGCAACTCACTGAAGCATCTACTGCAGAATGGGCCAAAGATCCTCCAGTATTACAAGGGAACTTTTGGAAACAGAAGGATCTAATTCTAGATTAGTACTTCGAGGTACAAACATTATGATGATTACTCGTTTTTTATTATATGTCTGAAAACTATGCCCTATATTGTCATGAATTTAGGATATGTTTATGATGGTTTAGTTCTGGACTTATGTATCTTTTCTTATTGTTGGTGATCAATGCAAACTCTACTATGGCCCATGTAGTGCATTATTTTACCGCCTAAATATATATCATATTTTGTTATGTTTGTTGTTTACAGTAGCGTATTGCTTCAGATTTGTTCTTCTATCATTTTTGCAGAGGGCATATATTGTATCTGATCTTCATTGTGGAGATTTTATGTGGTCTAGCAACATTGAATATTTGAGTCCAAAGAGGTGCTAATTTTCTTTCTTCTTTCATATGTTTTTGTACACCGTTTGGCTTGGTATTCAAAACGGAGAAATCTGTCACCTCCACCTCCTGAACTGTTAAACTGCCTAAATAACCCCTGAACTATCTAAAACCGTCTGAATAACATACAAGGTAGTTTTGAAGGCTTGTTTTGTATGTGGCATGCAGGTGTGCACTATTATTTCTGTATAACGACTCTCGTGCTTGCTTCTCCAAAGTTTATCCTAATAAATTTTCTATACCCATATGAAAAAAAAAATAAGGGCAGGTCTTGCTTTTTTATACTTGAATGCTTGTCTTGTGTATCAGAATCCACAATACAATGAGGATTTAGAACTGTAGAAAGGTTGGTATTTTCAAGTATTTTAAATACCGTGGATTTAGTTTATAATTGTAGAAAGGTTGAAATTTTCAAGAATTTTAAATACCACAGATTGTGTTCTAGCTGATGAGAAATTTGACCATCCAATTATTGGTTTGTGTTATCATCATTGTTTCTCTCTTAATACTTTCAACCGTTGCGTCTGGCTATTGAATTGTCCTTGAGTTGATAAAGTTTATTATAAATTAAAATTCGGTCTGTTACTCTGTTTTAACTTGTCATAGTGGGTTACTATACTTTCAACCGTTGCGTCTGGCTATTGAATTGTCCTTGAGTTGATAAAGTTTATTATAAATTAAAATTCGGTCTGTTACTCTGTTTTAAAAAAAAGCGAGGAAAAATCTCCAGAAAAATCCTCGTTAGGTTCTATTACTCTGTTTTAGGTGGCATATATAATACCCAGTTTTCAGGTTCTATTACTCTGTTTTAACCTGTCATAGTGGGTTACTATACTACGTTAAGAGTCCTTGATGAGATAGTTTCTATCCGTAAAAACTTGGTCAGTGATATAAACAGGTGGTTAGGATACAAATGAAAAATTGCATAAGTTTTAGGTGACATACATAATACCCAGTTTTCAGGTTTTGTAGTAATAGTTCATTCATTTACAATGCTGCCATATGTGCATCTTGTTAAGTTGTGTGACTATGTTGCTTTGTTTTCTTGATTCAACTCCGTACATTCTGAGTTCATCCTTTTAATTATATTGAAATATCTTAAAAGCTGTACGTACTGGTTTTGACTTTTGTCAACTATTGAAATCTAGAATGCTGTTATTCAGACGTACCCAGCGGGACCGTGCTTGTTTCAGGTGCTGACAGATGACAATGATAAGTGTAAGTTTATATAAACTTGTTCATTCTTGTAGCCCGTCCTTGTTCTCCATATTATTACTATACCCCATTTCTTGAGACGGGGGCGCTGTGATATTGTACGAAACCACTGTAGTGGTGGTTCTGCAACCAAGCGTCGTTCTTCCATGGCGAAGCATTGCCTGGCGGCTACACCGCAGGCCCAGGCCCGCTGCGACGTTGTCTTGATCTTTTGTTGTAATGAAACCGATTTTCCTTTTGGCAAAATTGGTTCTATAGCTGAGCCGGCCAAAATTTATTAAGAAGGGAAGGGTTTATGCAAAATTGGTTATAGAGCACCGAAAGTCTTATCCAAGTTTTTGTGAGACTCAAAAAAGATAAATGTCTTTAAGACTTTTTTGCAATGCGGCTTGCTTTGTGTTCCCGATGTGCTTATGATCACGTATTGTCGACAACGGAAAGCCGTCAGATTGCGCCATCAGGCCTCGGCACGTAGCCCTCAAGACGGAGCAGATAACGAGTAGTAGCAGATAAGCCTCGTGTAGTAGCCGTGCTTGTTTTGTGTGGACACATTTCGCCCCAAAACAGACGCTGCAAAACGACGCCCAAAAAAAAAAGCGAGGAAAAATCTCCAGAAAAATCCTCGTTACATTAGCCTTTGCTTTGCTTGCTCACTCTCGCCACGCCAAGAACGCACCGTGCCACCGCCATGGCCACCTTCCTTGGGAGCTCGCCGGCCTTCCTCGCCCGCCCCGTCGCCGCCAAGCCGCACCTCTCCTGCGCGCAGTCGCCGCGCCCGCCCAGCGCCCAGCCGCCGCCGGAGCAGCAACCGCCGACGCCGACGCCGACGCAGCAGCAGTCCATGCAAGCCCAGCCGCAGGCGAGGCCGAGGCGCGCGCCGGCGGCGGCGGCGTCCGGCGCGGACTCGACGGACTGGGTGGCGACGTCGCTGACGCGGCGGTTCGGCATCGGCGCCGGGCTCGCGTGGGTCGGGTTCCTCGCCTTCGGCGTCGTCTCCGAGCAGCTCAAGACCCGCTTCGAGGTCGCGCAGCAGCTGGCCAACACCAAGTCGGTCAAATCTCCCTCCTCCATTGATTCATCAGCTTCCTCCATTGAATTCCGCTTTTAACTTACACTCGTCGCCATGGCTTCCTCTTCCTCCTAGGGACGTGGAGCAAGAGCAGGAGGTCGTCCTTCCCAACGGAATACGGTGAGCACGCAATCTGCTCGATCGCCAAGCACTTGGTCACTCTATGCTTGTATCTATGGGGATCTGACGTTGGTGTTCGTGCAGGTACTACGAGATGCGAGTAGGCGGCGGCGACGTGCCGCGGCCGGGGGACCTGGTGGTGATCGACCTGAAGGGGAGGGTGACCGGCGGCGAGGCGTTCGTGGACACGTTCGGCGACGGGAAGCGGCCGCTGGCGCTGGTGATGGGGTCGAGGCCGTACACGAGGGGAATGTGCGAGGGGGTGGAGTACGTGCTGCGGTCCATGAGGGCCGGCGGCAAGCGGCGGGTGGTCGTCCCGCCGGCGCTCGGCTTCGGCGACGACGGCGCCGACTTCGGCGACGCCGCCGCGCAGGTCCCGCCCGGGGCCACGCTCGAGTACGTCGTGGAGGTCGACAAGGTGTCCATCGCGCCGGCGTGAGCGTGATCGACGCGACGTGTAGACTCCGTATACGTAGCTGCTGCCTGGAGACAACCCCCTGCAGCGAAAATCTCTCGAAAGGGTTTAAAACTTGCACAGCGATTTCATATTTTGTTTGAAAGAGAATGTTTTGATTTTTGGCCCTAGTTTAAGTTCTATTGTCTCTACAGCTATTTGGCCGTCGTATATCTAGCGAGAGGATGGCCTGTTTGCTCCATTTTCAGTTAAAACTGCAGAGATTAACATATACTTTCTGATGTTTTTTTTTCAATGTTAAAATGCACGTCGGGCTTTAAATATACTCCCTCTGTTTCATGTCATAAGACATTTTGACTTTGGTTAAAGTTAAACTTTTTTAAGTTTGACTAAGTTTATAGATAAATATAGTAATATTTATAATATTAAATTAGTTTCATCAAATTAATAATTGAATATATTTTCATAATAATTTTGTCTTGGGTTAAAAATGTTATTACTTTTTTCTACAAGCTTAATCAAACTTAAAACAATTTGACTTTGACTAAAGTCAAAATGTCTTATAACCTGAAACGGAGGGAGTAGCTAGTAGCTACTCTGTACAAATAATTGTCTATAGATAAATATAGTAATATTTATAATATTAAATTAGTTTCATCAAATTAATAATTGAATATATTTTCATAATAAATTTGTCTTGGGTTAAAAATGTTATTACTTTTTTCTACAAACTTAATCAAACTCAAAACAATTTAATTTTGACTAAAGTCAAAATGTCTTATAACCTGAAACGGAGGGAGTAGCTACTCTGTACAAATAATTGTCAAAATGTGTAGGAGTACAAACTTCGTTTAGTGCTGACCCCATTGTCAATCATATCAGGTGTTTTGCTCAGACAAATAACCATAGTCAATGGCTGTTGGCTGTTTATATCATGGAAATTTTAAAAAGGGACCAAAAGGATAGCTTAGAAACAGAGCTGAAGGGAACGTAATGTTTTCACGTGGATACAATTTCACTGCCCTAATAACCAAAGCGAAAAGAAATCACTTATCGACAATAACAATGTCCTCCCTCCGTTTTACAATATAAGTCATTCTAGCATTTTTCATATTCATATTGATGTTAATATATCTAGACATATATATCTATCTAAATTCATTAACATCAATATGAATGTGGAAAATGCTAAAATGACTTCCATTGTGAAACGGAGGAAGTATCTTATACTACACACATTGTACACAACAATCGCTAGAGATCACTGATATCATCAGCTGACAGGATCACGTTGCGGTACACGATTGTAGAGCGGGAGCTCGAAGAGGAAGCCCATCTTGAACCATCCAGGCAGGGCTCCATACACAGCTGGTGGTAGTGGGATAAGAGGACTGCAGATAAAAAATACAAATGCATAAGCTAGTCACCCTTTGCTGTTGAAATCTGCAAAGAAATGCTTGGACCCTTGGAGTGGGGATATGAAAACGGGCCAATTTGCTTAATACAATCGCAAAAATCACAGAGTTAGAAAATACTATCATATGTGTCATTGATATACGGGTCCAAGTCCCATATGTCATTCTCATGTAGGATGGTACTTTACAACTCAGAAATCTCTGCGATTGTATTTCCCAAAATTTCCCCATGAAAAGTGTCATGTCTAGGAGTTCTTCCTTACCTTGTAGTGTTCTTGTACGTGCGGTATTCTTCGTTCTGTCCAAAGCGCTTATCAGCAGAAGCCTTCAAAACAGGAGCATAAAATGGTGTGATGTGTTAGCATTTTTGCAAGTAACAAAGTATATAATTTCAAAGAGAAGTTGTGGTTGTTAACCTCCAGAAGTGGGATTCCACTAACGAAGAGAAGCAAGAGCGTCAGGAATACAGGTCCGAGGATCACGAGCCATTCAGCTCCTGAGAGAACTGGAGTAGATGCTACAAATATTCCCCACCAAAGGAATATCTGTGTCGAATTAAATTGTCAAACAAATGTCAGTATTTGTTCAAAACACTGTAAAATTAAATAGATTATATCATATAAAGTGTGTGCAGAATATATATAACCAGCAGTGCACAACAAAATATCTGCAATTGGTAGAAACAGATAGCTATGCAAGATGAATGGCAGAGAATGAGAAGGTCCAAGTTTTCAACAGTTTTTTTTAGCAAACTATTGACCTATGTTTTACTTTATTTTTCAAGGTCAAACTGCATAGGCAAATACTTTTCGCTTACAGGTTAGTGAAAACCAAGCTTGTTCGTGCAAAATAAACTGACTAACCTCGCCAAAGTAATTTGGATGGCGAGTATAACTCCAAAGACCCACATTACACCACCTTCCACGATTGCTCGGAGAATTCTTGAACGTAAGCTTCTGCTGATCAGCTATTGCTTCCATACCTGCCCCGATCAGCCACATGATCCAACCAATAATATCACGGGCTTCAATTGAGGGATCGCTGTCACTTGCGTTCACAATTGTAACAGGCAAGCTGACAGTCCATACCCAAACAGCCTGCCCAAATCAGGACAGAAGGCCCGGTAAGGCTCTCTTAAGCCACTAACAAATTAAGCAGGCAAAAAAAGTTACAAAAGGTTACCTGGAAAATCCAGAAAACTGCTAGTTTTCCCAAGTTATCGCGCATTTCATCAAACCGTTTGTCCTCTCCCCATTGAAGAATCCTAGACAAATTTAGACAATATAAGCATTAGTAAGTCATTTTGGATAACATCGAATGTTTTGGCTCAAGCTAAGGATAAGCAATGTAGCAAGTAAGGAAGTTACATAAAGTATATATAGGCCATGTAACAGCCCTACAACATCATAGTCATGAATAATAACGTCAAAATAAAGTTGATTTCCTTGAAAAACCAGGCTTGTTTCCTGAAAACTGAGAAACTGCTAGAATTATCAAGACACCACATCAGTCCTGGACTCAAGTAGTAAGAAGCATATTGTGCATCTGCATCTGCATCCATCTGCATAAGCATATTGTGAAGATGATAAATGCCTTCTCTTCACAGTATCCATCTGCATCTGTGCTTTGGTGGTTGCATATTGAGCATGCTTATTGATCAAATTCATTAACCAGTTCATAAGTGAAATGAGTTATGTGATGGGCTGAGCAACAGCCTTCAGAGATAGCACCATAGTGAAATTCCAAAATGGAACCAATATTAATTATCAGGTTTGACTGATAAGATCCTTTTGTTGCTCATAAAAAAGATAACAATAACCTACATCAGACCAACAACACAGAATATATGCGTGAAGGCATGAAGCATTTAAGATAGTAGAAAGTTTAGTAATGCATTTCATATTTGAACAAACTTTGCTGTTTTATAATAATATACCTCATTAATAAGAATAGTCCTAAGCGAAGACCCCAAATCACAACGAGCACAGTCAATACAACCTGATAAAGGGATGAAAGTTAAGAAATCCACAAATTAAAAAAAGCATGTATTGTTACAATTATAAAAGAATATACAAACAAATGGACTGTAGAGTTGGCTAAAGCTACTATCCGTCGGTAGATTTCCATGTAAAATGGAACGAGGTTATCTTTAACTCTTTGATGCAACATCGCTTGAAACAAAATCACTTGAAAGGAATTTTTTCAGGTTAATTTGCAGTATTTTTTTCTACAACCTGGAAATATTAGATTTTATCAGAAAAACACATGCATGCCACTAATTTTCGTACTAATCTACCCATTTTCTTTTCATCCTTTCTTTTATAGGCATGTTACCATTTGCAGGTTTGCACTTTTGTTATAAGTGAGGCATTTTTATCCCGTTTCATGAACAGTATTACTCAATAATAGACAATGAAGAAATAAACAGGTAACATTGCTGCAAATTCTACAGTATCTGTCAACAGAAACATCCATTCCCAACCTAATTCATCAACATATTAATGATGTTATGTCATCCTAAACCGAACAAACAACAAAATCATGGCAAGTCCAAAGAATGAATAATCCGAAGGCAGAATGAGAATTAATTCTCAAATGAACAGCTTGCTTTCATTCTGCTGTGACTGAGAAGACATTGGGACCATGTTTACAACAAGAAAATAACAAGGTGGGCACGTTTTACTTCAGACAACTATTTACCTGACGGAAATGCCATGCTCCCTTCAAAGCTAGCGTGAGGATTGCAAGTATGATGAAATTCGTACTTCCTGTAAGACAACAACGCAGTAACAGAAATTACCAAAAATTTAAAAGGCAATTTCCTTGTTGAGGAGAACTTATATTCAAGAATAATATAAGCAGTTTCCCATGAAAAGTTGTACACAAACAATTGCCAAAATTACCTGCGAAATCAGTGACTTTATCGAACCGCAGGAGCGCGGTGATGATGAAGAACACCAGCTGATATCCCACCTACCACCACCACCACAAAAATTGGAACAAGAAATTAAAAAAAAAATCCCAAGAACACCAATCACGTCTCCTGGAACCTCCAACCACATCCATGAGCACCGCACCGGCGAGAGAGAGGAAGAGGAAAAGACGAGGGATTTGCTCACAGTGACGATGGCCGTGAGCGCCAGGAAGTGGGAGTCCAGCACGGTTCCCATCGCGGCCTCCTCCGTTTATCCTCCTCCTCTCACCTGTCTCTGCTCCTGCTGCTGGTGCTGGTGCCAAACTGCCAATCGGGCTCGTTTTACTGAGCACAGGAAGGGGGGGTTTTAATTAACGGGTTGGATTGGATTCGGTCGACGGCGGCGTCAACCTGCCGATCCGGCGCGGCGGGGCGCGGCCCAAGCAAAAGGCGAGCGGCTGAAGTGCGGCCAGCGAGGCTGGACCATGCTTGCGGCGCGGGTCGTGAACCAATCCTTTGGCCCGGAGGGGAAGGAAGCGGGTGGAGAATAGTGTGGACCAGTGCGCCAGCTCGTCAGCCTCAACTGGCTGCGCGGCCGTGCGTGCGTGCGCCCATCAAGATTTCCCCAATACTCTCGGGGGGGAATCTGGCTGCTTTCTGATTAGTTGGATAACTTGGATCACGCAAGATTATTCTGAGTTCTGACTCGAATTTCTGACTTGAATTGTCAACGTGACTTGTCAATCGGAACTGTGAATGGCGTTAAGCATCTTTACATCTACAGGAATACGAGGGGACGGGATACCGTTGCCCCCAACGGGATAGCTTCCCCTCCACACTATGCCAGAACCCTACATCTGTGACGGCACACCAGTGACGGGCTTAAGGATTGGTCACAGATGACCAACACTTTTAACGGGTCGTTAGGTTTGCCGTCATCGGTGAGGCATCTGGCCATGGTCCGTCACAGGTATCACCTCACATGTGACTATACCTGTGACGTAGTGACGGGTTTGCTCTCCAACCCATTACTGGTTTGACCTCACCTGTGACGGGTGTTAAATTTGCAACCCGTCGAAGATTAGATATCTCATCTCAAACGAGTTAAAAAATTATAGCCGTCAGAGATGACTTACCAAAAAATCCCACACCCACCCCCTGCGACCCTACTCCTCCCCTCGGATTCCCCATCCCTCCTCATCTTCCCTTCTCATCTTCTTTCTTTCCCTCACTCACTCTCTCCCCCCTCATCTTCCTTCTCTCCCTCCTCACTCTCTCCCTCACAGATCGGGCCATGGCGCCCTCCCGAGCGCCGGCCGCTGACGCCTCCCCGTCTCCCGACCGGCAGCCGCCGCTACCTCCCCGCCTCCTGACCGCCGGTCGCCGGATCTAGCATACGAGGCGCGGATCGGGCCACCACGGCCTCTCCCCCGACCGTCGGTCGCTGCCGCCTCCCCGTCTCCCGAGCGCCGGCCGCTGACGCGTCCCCGCCTCCTGACCGTCGGCCGCCGCCGCCTCCCCGCCTCCCGACCGCCGGTCGCCGGATCTGGCCTACGAGGTGCGGATCCGGCCGCCGCGGCCTCTCCCCCGACCGTCGGTCGCCGCCGCCTCCCAACCTCCCGACCGCCGGCCATCGCGGCCTCTCCCCCGACCGTCAACCGCTTCCTCCTCCGCCACCGCACCGCCAACCGCCGGATCCGGGCGCGGATCCGGCCACCGCCTCCCTCTTGACCGTTGGCCGCTTCCTCCACCACCGCACCACCGCCAGATGAATATGATTGTGATGATTTTTGTAATTTTGTTTTGTGCCCAAATGATTGTGAATGTGAAGTGATTTTGTTCTTTGGCCAGATGAATATGATTGCGATGATTTTTGTGATTCTGTCTTGTGTCGAAATGACTGTGAATGTGATCATTTTTGTGATTTGTGATGCCTAATGGTCTGCGACTAGCTAGGCTTATAATATTATTTTTCCCTCATTTTTGAGGTTTGTGACGTGTCCCAATTCGGACCCCTCTGTCACAGGTGACCTCACCTACGACGGATTTTAGTTTTCAGTCCGTCAAAGGTAACTTTTACCTCTAACGGGTCTTTACCCGTCACAGGTGACTCCGAGTCATCAGTGACCACAGATCTGTGACCAGTGCTTAACCCGTCACAGGTAAGGGTATGAGCCCGTCAGAGATGACCTGATCAGTGTAGTGCCACCTCTATCAGCTGCAAGAGCACGAGGCACAACGGCCGAGCCGATGGTGGGGGGAGAGCGGCGGCGGTGGCTGGAGCCAGAGAGCCGGGGGAGGGGGCGGCGGTGGGTGCCGGAGCCAAGGGAGAGAGAGAGAGACAGCGGTGGCTGGAGCCAGAGAGCCGAGGGAGGGGGCGGCGATGGTGGCCGGAGCCGAGAGAGAGAGCGGCGGAGGTGACCGGAGTAGGGGGAGGGAGCGGTGACGGTGGCCGGAGCCAGGGAGGGAGGGGCAGCGGTGGTGGTAGCCGGATCCTGGGGAGGGAGGGGGTGGCGATGGTGCGGCGTCGGAGTTGGAGGAGGGAGCGGCGGCGGTGGTCGGAGCTAGGAAGGAAGGGTCGCTGGGGCGGCAGTGGTCGTCGGAGTACGTCGGGTATATATCGCGTGATACCTGGCACGTGATACCTACCTGATAGGTATCACTTGACACCTGGTAGGTGTCACCTGATACATCGCAAGTATCACCTTCTATGTGGTAAGAATCACATGATACCTGATAGGTATCACCTGATACCTCGCAAGTATCACCTGAAACGTGGTAAAATCGCCTGATATCTGATAGTTATCACCCGATACCGAACCTGATGTTAGGTATCATCCCGTTCGAAAACGAGATTTCATTATATAGCATCCCTCTTACATCTACTTCCTCCGTCCAAAAAAAAAAGCTAACCTAGGAGAGGACCTGGATAGACCTTTATCCAGATTTGTTGTACTAGAAAGGGCACATCGGCAGAGGGAGTATAGTAGTAGTATCTCGCTGTAGCTCGCATTAATAAAGGAGATTCTTACGACCGTATAAAAGAGAATTTGTTGGTACATTTGGGATAAACGACACAATCGCCGGGGACTCAAAAGTTGCTGACATTTGGGATGAACCTTCATATATATGACTCCGTATAATCTAATACTCCTATACTGATCTACTTTACACAAAGCAGAGAACATCCTGGATTCCTGATAATCTACCACTCCATTATGATCCACAAGAGATAAAAATACTCAAGGTTGATGAACACTAGACATGCAAAGACATATGCAACCATGCAAGAATTCCACTGTGAAGAAGACGGACAATTCTCTGAGTTCTTCTGGCTTAGATCCAACTCGCAATACGTCCATCCAAAGGCAATGGTCACCATCAAACTCGAGCCGCCGCGGTGGCACGGTCACGGCGTGTAGACCGGCGCGAACCAGAAGCAGGGCGGCTTGTACCCCTCCGCCATGGGGATCGACTCGATGACCTCGATCCTCTTGTGCTTGCCCTTGGCCGCCGCGGCGAGGCTGTACGCGCACACGCGCGTCTCGCCGGCGAGGTCCACGGCGAAGTACACGGTGCTGGGTCGCAGCCCGGGGCACTCCCGCGTAGACGCCGCCACCGCGCCCGACGCGTCCACGAGCACCGCCACGTCGCCGATGTCGTCCGCCTCCTCCCACGTCTCGCCGCATTCGTCCAGCACGCGCACCACGAACCCCTCCTCCTCGTCCTCGCCGCCGCCGGACGCGGCCACGGGCCGGAGCAGCTCCACCTGCATCAGCCCGCGGCGGCCGCCGGCGGAGCCTGGCGGGGACTCCACCAGGAAGCTGCGCTCCACGTACGCGTTCGGCCGCCGCGTCACGGAGGGGATGATCTCCGGCGAGGCGGAGCCCAGCCCGCGCAGCTCCGGGAACGCGTACACCATCCCGTACCGCGTGTTGGCGTAGAGCTGCCCGCGGTGGACGGCCACGTCGACCACGGCGGGGATGCTCGTCGGCTTCACGGACTTCCACGCGCGGTCGCCGGGGCGCGCCGTCGCCCACTGGTTGCGGTGGTGGACCTGCCGGTAGATCACGACCACGAGGAGCCCCCCGTCCGGTGCGGGCACCGGCACGGCCTTGTGGATCAGGCCGTCGATGCGGGAGACGGTGCCGCCGCCATGGCGGACGTTCAGCCCCGCTGGGCCCCCTTCGACGCCGTCGACGAGCGGGAGCGAGATGACGGGGGGAAGCGCCCTGCGCTTACCGGTGACGGGGTCGAGCAGGTGCATCTCGCCGCGGTCATCGGCGGCCACGATCACGCCACGGGAGGAGCCGAGGGGCACGAACCCTCGTCCCCCATCGCGGCCGAGGCGCGCGGGGAGGGCGACGACGGGGACCTCCCGGTCGCGGGAGACGACGAAGCGGCAGCCATCATCCGGATCGGGTGCGTCGGCGGGGAGCAGGAGCCAGGGGCGGTCGGGGCGCGGGCGGCCGCGGCCGTCGACGAAGATGGCGGCGGCGGCGCGCCATGAGGCGCAGACGGCGCGGAAGCGGAGGAGGTCGAGTGCCGGGAGGCGCCCGACGACGAGGAGGAGCATGTCGTCGTGGATCCCCGACCAGCCCGACATGGCTGCGTCGTGGGGGCGGCGGGAAGGGGGGGGGGGGGGGGCGCCGGCGACGGCGGGGAGGCTCGTGTGTTTATACGAGAGGGAGGAATCGATCGGCCGCGGCGGAGGCGGTTGCCGATTTCGGGAGTTGCTTACGTCTCACGCGCGCCGTTTTTGGGTGACCTTAGCGTTTTTCCTAAGCTGTGGGTTCGCAACGTAGTAGATTTTTTTCTTTTATTAATTTTTTTATTGAAATATTTAGAAAAATAATTTGTAATTTCAAATATTACCCCCTATCAAGAAGCTCGGGTGTAGAATCTTTAAATCTGCAATACTTTGAAAAATATAAAAATTATGTTTATAAATATTTTCATAAATAAATAAATGAAAAATGAAAAAAAAACCTTATCCGTACGGATCAAAGGTTCCGATATACTCCTTCCGTCCTTAAAAAAAAGACAAACCCTGGGTTTCCGTGTCCAACGTTTGACCGTTCGTCTTATTTGAAAATAATATGAAAAAAAATTAAAAAGACAAGTCACGTATAAAGTATTAATCATGTTTTATCATCTAACAACAATAAAAATACTAATTATAAAAAAACTTTCATATAAGACGGACACAGAAACCCAAGGTTTGTCTTTTTTTTTAACGGAGGGAGTATGTAGTAAGGCCCAGCTTCCTGCTAGGCAGCTTAGAAGCCTACAAAACAAAAGCCCAAGACGCTCGCACCACAATAATCTGCTTTCCCTCCAAGGAAGCGTAAACGTTTGTGGCTGAAACTCGATGCCCGCTTTTGCTTCAAGGAAACGTAAAAATGGGACATTTAACTTTATGCCACTTTTAAGATGTGACAATTAATTATTTGCCACTCATTGTCTATAACATGTGAGAACTCATATATCTATGACATGTGGGTTTAGTGATAAATAATTTTATCACCACATTAAGGCTGTGTTCGGCACCCTCTCTTCTCAACATATATCTCTTGTTTTCCGCGCGTACGTTTTTTAAACTACTAAACGGTGTATTTTTTACAAAAAAAGTTTTTATACAAAAGTTGCTTAAAAACAAATTAAACTATTTTTGAAAAAAATTATTTAATATCTAATTAATCGCGCGCTAATGAATCGCTCCGTTTTCCGTGCGAGCACTTGGTTCCGAACGCCCTAAAGCTGTGTTTGCAATCATGGGTTTCCAACATGTACAGTGTGCACAGAAAACATAGTGGTCTATTAGCGCGTAATTAATTAAATATTAGCTATTTTTTAAAATAAAATATATCAATATGATTTTTTAATAATTTTTGTATAAATTTTTTTTAAAAAACACCCATTTAGCAATTTTAAATAGTACGTGTGTGTGGGGAATACGATGGAGAAGGGTGGGAACGAAGGATTGCAAACACGGCCGAGTGGCAAATACGGAGTAGTTAATTATTCCAGCTTTATGCGGTTTCGTGTAGTATCCTGTAGTCCACTCCTGCAATCCACCCGCCCCCTGTTTCGTCAAACTTCTCATCTCCCCTTCCCGTCCGCCGCCATGCCGCCGGCCGGTAGCCTCACCGACGAGCAGCTCCGCTTCTTCGACGCCAATGGTAAGCGCCAGCCACCGCTCGTTCCCCTCCCCTCCTCCTCCTCCGCGGCCATCTGGTCAGTGTCGCTCCCAGCAATCGGAGGCAGCGAATTGCCCAGCTAGAACTATGTACGATACGAGGGGACCTAAATCCTTGTCGCGCGTGGGGGGGTCTCGTTGGTCGCAGGGTACCTCGTGCTGGGGTCGTTCTCCAGCGCGGAGGAGGTGAGGGCGATGAGGGACCGCATGGCGGAGCTCGTCGACGGCTTCGACGGCGCTGGCGACGTCTTCTCCACAAAGGATCACGTATGTCTGGGGAAAGATATTTTTCCCCTTTACTGAATAGCTGTCTCTGTATGCTTGTCGTATGTACATTATCAGGAGGAGTAGTTTCTAGTCTCGCTGCTAGATTTGATTGCCAGTGGCACATGCATCGCGGTTTGAACTTACTGTTACATTGTTTCCCAATGCAGCGGCAGGTGAAGAACGACTTTTTCTTCAAGAGTGCGGAGAATATCTCTTTCTTCTTTGAGGGTAAGTGAAGTTCATCCTCTTGGAGTTGTGGAGTTTAACATTCATCAGTTATGCTATCTGAACAAGGAATTGGTTGGTAGTTTGTTAAAAAAAAACAAGAAGATAATGTGTACTAGTTACAGACCTATTAGTGTCGAACAGTTCTTCTGGCTCTGTTGTTGCTTTACATCTTTTAGCATGTGCAGGTTTACTTGGATTTGGATAGTGATTTATATTTATATATTTTGCTGTTTCTATTACTCACAGAAAAGGCATTTGGAGATGATGGATGCTTGAAGCAGGCAAAGGAACTTTCAATCAATAAAGTTGGGCACGGTCAGTATGCCAAGTAGAAATTGGTTATACATGTGTGTAGTTTGTACTATGATGATTGATTGAATCTTGCAAGATTATTGTGTTGTTTATGTTGCATGGTTTGGAACCTGATGCCACTTGCTATGCAAGTTGTAAATTGTCTTAGCATGATGACTTCTTGTGAGAAACAGTCAGGGATTTTCCTACTTAAATATAGAAGTCGAAAATTGTAATAGACTTCTCTGATTGCTCAAACAAATATTTACATTGCATCTAGGCCGAAAGATAACAACGTAACATCCTAAACAAGATTGCATTCGATTCATAGGTGCTGCTGGAATAGTCTTATAACCAATCGTGTAGCACTTTTATTGGTAATTCTTTTCTTGTTCTGAACATAAATTTTCTTGTTCAACCTTGCTATTTCTGCTGTTTGCATTTCCATTAATCTGGGTTAAGAGAAATTTTCTTGAGTTAGTTTGTTTTTGAATTTGCCTGTTTGGTTGTTTTTTTCTAGTTAACGTTAGTATTTTCCATGCTTTGAAAAGCTTATATTGTTTGTATACTTGTATACTTATAACAATATATCTTGAGATATTGCCATTCACTGCTCAGTAATTTATGCAGCGTTACATGAACTTGACCCTGTGTTCAAAAAGTTCTCTTTTGGAGCGAATGTTTCCAGCCTGTTCTCTTCTTTACGCTACAAGAGACCTGCAGTTATTCAATCTATGTACATCTTTAAGGTACCTTGTGCAGTCTCTAGTTTCTTGTTGGCATTGACTATAACTTTTATTCCTTATTGGGTTAATTTCTCCACAACTCAGCAACCAGGCATTGGTGGCGAGGTGGTACCACACCAGGATAATACATTCCTATATACAGACCCTCCATCGTGCACAGGGCTGTGGCTTGCACTCGAAGATGCGACAAAAACGAATGGTTGCCTTTGGGCAATTCCTGGATCACATAAAAGTAGATTTTCGCATCAAATTATTTTATTTCAAGAATCCTCTTGTGTTTATCTGAGCTTCTGATTTGTTTATCATTTACATTGCTTTGTACCAGATGGCCTGAAAAGGCGAATGATCAGAGATGAAATCGATACTCATTTTGATCATCCTTCGCCAACCTATGATCTGAAAGAATTTGTGCCCTTAGAAGTAAAGTCAGGTGATTTGGTGGTTATTCATGGAGATCTTATACACCAGAGGTGAAGTTATCCTGTTATATTGCGTATGCTTGCAATCAACTGCTTCATTTTTTTACTAATATGTTTTAACTTTCTTTGCCAGCTTTGAAAATCTTTCTCCGGTGTCAAGACATGCACTGAGCTTACATGTAATTGATACCGAAGGATGTGAATGGTCCAAGCAAAACTGGTTAGTTTATTTTAACACTTTTGGAGAATTCTAAAGTTAAAATTCTATCTTCTATATTTGCTCTTGGTGGTCTTTGCATAACTTACTGTCGCGCAGTAGAAGTCTAGAATTGCCTAGAAACAAGCTATTCTACTTCCAAGCTTGTCCTAAACTGCTCAAACCAAGCTAATCCCTCCATTTCACAATGTAAGACTTTCTAGCATTACCCACATTCATATAGATGTTAATGAATCTAGATACATATATGTCTAGATTTATTAATATTTATATGAATATAGACAATACTAGAAAGTCTTACATTGCGAAACGGAGGAAGTACTTGTTTTAGACTGTATAATCTTATACTGCATAATCTTGTACTTGATACTGTATAGTTTTGCCGTAGCCTGTAACACAGGACACATATTGGTTACTTGTACCTGTATATATTGAAACAAGGTATTGTGCCGCTGTTTGTATTTTTACAAATGGGAATGATGTTTTACTTTATCTTTCATGTCAATCACTTGAAAACTCCGAAGGCAGAAATTTATTAGTGTCCTTGTTTAAGTCACTGTTAGCAGAAATTTTGTAGGTAATTTGGTCCTGTTTATACATAACAAGTACTCCATCTTAAACTTACCGGCTTGCTTGCAATGCTGAAGTGGATACTACACCAGTACACCTCATACAACATCGTAAAATTATAGCTATCGATGTTTCATAAACTTTTCCACCTTTTTTTAAAATTTGCTAGCATGCTTTTTTATGCTTTCTCAGGTTACAAAGGAAAATCCCACCTCAGCCACTTTATGAAAATTAGTTGAAGCAGTTACCTATATGTCAAATAAACGAGTGATGACCTAGAAGCAATGGTGATGATGCTGATTACCTATCCTCGTCGCAATAAATCTGCAGTACGATGTTGAGTAGCTGTGCTTTCTTCTCCCGTCTTCAGACAGTGTAAATACCTTGCTACTCTGTTTTCATGGATGAATTTTATGGCAATAAATTTGATGTACGATGTAGAGTAGCTGTGCTTTTTTCCCCGTCTTCAGACACAAGTCACACAACTACGCTGCTACTCTGTTTCCAGGGGTGATATTTATGCTTAATAAAATCTATCTCCAGTTCTTAATGTTACCAAATGCCGACAGCAAATCAGCAATGCTCGTCATATTTTCAAACAGACGCTGATTGTCTGATTAGCCCACTGTTCGATGAATCGTGGAAGCGGAGCAACATTTCTTTAGATTTGCTTCTATCCCCTCAAAAAAAAAAATATTTGTTTCAACTGCTGTTCTTGCCTGATTTTTACCATGTGGTCAGTAGCTGATCCTAGGAGCAAGCGGTACAACTCCGGGAGTATCTGCCGTATGGTTGATACAGTTCAACGGGACTAATAAACAGTATTGTAAGTTAGGCTGTTAACTAATCACACGGTCATAGCATGTATTATTGCAGTTTCCTTAATAAACACAGCTCAACGACTCTGTTTAAGAACACGGTTGCATCCTGCATAGTTATGACCATGTGTTCTTAAGTTGTCTGATTAGCCCACTGTTCAGTAGTACTTTATAGTTACGCAGATCCTAGAGCATCCTCAATGTTTATTACAAAAGTGGATGGTAAGATAAACCCATGTCAAATGTTAATGGTGAATTAAAGAACAAGTTACACCCATATACAACAACTTGATAGGTGGATACGATATAGTATAAGAACTTGAGAATTGAACGTTCGAGTGCAACAACTTGACAAGTAGGTACGTTCTAGTACAAGAACTTGACAATTTAGTATTTTGGTACATCAACTTAGCTAAGCATATGCTATGTGAGTTTTTCTCGCGATGTCAATATGCCTTTACATAGCAATCGTACGGATATTACCTTAATACCTTATAATATTGAATTTAATCTTTAAGAATTATACTGCACATCCAATTACCTTTAAAAATTTTTGTTTTCTTCACCTTCTCAAATCTCAACTGAAATATAATAATTTTTACATCCAGTTTAATTGACTTTCAGTTATTAGTTATTAGGATAAAAATATAAATATGCTTATATACAAAACCACACTAGTATATTGTTAAAATAAGTACTTAAAAATTGAATATGTATAAAAAAGTGCTCCAAATAATTAAATTGTCGCATAACTTCTGAACTTATTGTATCAAAATCGTACATATCTTGCAAGTTGTTGCATTTATACAGTCACTTATAAAGTTCATGTACTAAATTGTACATATCTACCAAGTTGTTGCACTAGAATACTCATTTATCAAGTTCTTGTACTAAATTACACCCACCTACCAAGTTGATACACCGTGGGTGTAATTTACTCTAAATTGAAAATACGGCCATGTTTAGTTCCCTCGTAAAAACTTTTTCACCCCGTCACATCGAATGTTTGGACACATGCGCGGAGTATTAAATATAGATAAAAAAAATTAATTACACAGATTGCGTGTAAATTGCGAGATGAATCTTTTAAGCCTAATTACTCTATGATTTGACAATGTGGTGCTACAGTAAACATTTACTAATGACGAATTAATTAGGCTTAATAAATTCGTCTCGTAGTTTACAGGAGGAATATGTAATTTGTTTTGTTATTAATCTAGGTTTAATACTTTAAATGTGTGTCCGAATATTCGATGTGATACGCTAAAATTTTTCACCCTTGGATCTAAACACAGCCTACATCACAATGTCTATATGTGAAGAGTACGGGTAACAAGGTGAACTGAAAAAACCACAAACATAAGCAATGGCACAACTAAAAAATAGGTAGGACACGTCACAAAGTGTTTATATCTTGAAAGTAAGCCTATAATTTGGTAGTAACTATTTACTATTTTTCACAATATATCTTACCTGATAATAAGATTTTTTTAGTTACTAATATTTACTTTTCTACTATATCATGGATGTCCTAAATATCCCGTCATAGAGACTCGCCAACCGTCCAAGTACAAATCTTACAAAGATCCATCTGAAGGAAAGGAAAAGCTTATGATACCATCTGCCATCACATAATCCAAACCGGCAGACGAATTGTCTTGTCATACCTATGTGGGACATGTATACGTTTATTGATAACATTATCACACCAGATGTGCACGATAAATAAAGCAGCAAGTGGCACAAAACCGAAGTCCAAAACCATGTAGTAATATTTGTGATCTGCATATATTTGTCGTAAGTCTGGGCCTCTGTCAAGGGGGAGCCCACGTGAACTGTGAAGTTGAAGGCGACGCACGCAGCCGCCAGCCCGGTGCTAGCTAAGCTGCACACACACACACACACTGACACACACCAAGCAAGCAAAACATGTACCACCCACCCAATAACGCACAAGCACTTTATCCTCTGTAGTACGGTCATTATTGACTGTGACTGACTGACATGTAGGCCCCACATCTACTGGACCTACACGTCAGTGATTCGAAGTTAGAGGACAATACTGCTCATCCTTCGCGCCGCCCATGCCGTCGATCCGGCCGCCGTTCGCCGCCGGCAGGGGTGGTGCCTGCAGCACGGCTGAGGCTATGTAAGCTAAGGCTTGTGCAGCAGCCTGCCGGCGACGACGGCGGCCTCGATGACGAGCGAGATCACGTCGATGACCTCGTCGATCATGCACTTGTTCCCCTGGAACGTCGACGAGCCCTCCCGCAGCCTCGCCAGGCACTCCAGCAACTCCTCGTTGCACGCCGTGCTCAGGTAGTCATCTGATGATATGAACGAAAGAAAAAAAAATATATATACACATAGAAAACTAAGCAGCATATGCTATGCAAATACGGGACAGTAGTTGGTAATTATGATGGATTAGTTCTGTGACGTACTCTTGGCCTGGACGCAGTTGTCGTGGTGCATGCAGCAGGCGTCGAGCTCGTCGCACGGCTGCTCGCCGGGGCAGCCGCTGTACAGGATGCCGCAGTACTTGCCGTAGCGCAGCAACGGCGGCGCTGCACACGCACCCAATCGAGATCACCGTCGTCAGAGCAAAGATCACAATCAAATTTAGGATCGACGACGACGACGAATAACATAGCCACTTACTCGTGCAGTGGTCGGACTCGCACGTGCGGCTGCACAACCCGGCCTTGCTCTGCGGCGTCGCTCCCCCAGTCATAATGATTAATCAACTTTGTTAGCCAACGAGTACGAGCAGATTAGGAGAGAGAGAGAGTGGGTAGTGACGTATATAGTGTACGTACCGCGCCGTCGCCGGCGGACTGGAGGCCGATGTTGAGCGCCGCGGCGGGCGGCGCGACGACGGCGAAGAGGAGCAGGGCGGCGGCGGCGGCGGCGACAACGACCCCCGCGCGCAGCCGCAGCCGCGAGAAGCTCCCGCCGCGCGCCATCCTCCCGGCCGTCTCCAGATCTCACACTACACACACAAACACAACACAAACCCGACACAGCCTCTCTCCTCCTCCCTCTTCGTCGTCACCGCTGCCGCGCCGCGCCGGCAGCAACTGCAAAGCGTACACTTTGCTGCCACCGCGCCACCGCCGCCAGCCAGCCGCTAGCTCTCGGCGAGATCCGAGAGATTTTCTAGGGAGGAAGGGAGATCGAGGAGGAGACGAGGCGGCGAAGAAGCCTGTAGCGGCTACGTGAGCTATAACTGTGGTTGGGCCCTGGCGAATAGCAAATCTTCGTTGTACGAAGGGGAGGGGAAGCGCACCCGGTGAGATGATGGAGGAGGAAGGGGAGGTGGCCGGACGGAGCGGCGTTTGGTTGTATTCGGCTCGTGAGCGTTGTTGGCTAGCTCGCCCTCACGTCACGGGCTCTGCAATGCCGTGCGTGCGTGCATGCACCAGCGTCGTCCAGCAAGGCAATGTGCGCAGGCGCCTTTTTAGGTTGTTTTGCCTACCGGGACGCCGCTTGTAATCGTGGTGTATTTTTAGATCCAGTTTAAACAAATCCCTCTTATTTATGCTTATAAATCAACTTATGAGTCGAAAACTCCAAATCTAAACAAATAATAGCTTTTTGTTTGGTCTTCTAAAGCTATAAGTCACTCTTATACACTATTAAGCCAAAAACTGGGTTGAAAAAATTATTTTTGTTTATGTAAGATAGAGATATGACTTCACCAATTAACTTAAAACTTTAAATCCATTAATTTATAAATCATATAAAAAACTGACTTAAAATGTTAAGTTAATAGGTCCTAGTAAAAAAAATGCGCTAAGAGAGCTCTTGATGAGCTTTGAATCTTCAACAGTTAAAAACTCCTTTAAATAGTTTAGAGTAAAGTCCATCACCAGTCCCTAAACTTATACCGTTGTGTCATCCTGATCCCTAAACTCGCAAATCGACCGTTCAGGTCCTCAAACTTGTTTGACTGTGTCATCCCGGTCCCTAAACTTGCAGATCACTCGTTTAGGTCCTGCAACTTGTTCAGTTGTGTCACCCCGGTCCCTAAGCAGGACGGTCTAAAAACTTTATATCAAAAAATAATTCATAACTTTTTCATGTGAACTCTAATGAAGACAAACTTTATATCAAAATTCAACTACAAAGTTATAGATCGCGTCGAGGGCTATAAGTTTGATATAAAGTTTATCTTCATTAGAGTTCACATGAAAAAGTTATGAATTATTTTTAAATATAAAGTCTTTAGACCGTCCTATTTGACCCAGATGATATTCAAATCCAAGTTTAGGGATCGGGGTGACACAACTGAACAAGTTGGAGGACATAAACGAGTGATCTACAAGTTTAGGGACCGGGATAACACAGTCGAACAAGTTTGAGGACCTGAACGGTCGATTTGCGAGTTTAGAGACCGGGATGACACAGCGGTACAAGTTTAGGGACTGGTGATGGACTTTACTCAATAGTTTAGATTGTCATTCAGTCTCTGAAATATTATCTATTATAAAAATTGAAGATATTTTTGCTGGTATTTTGATACGTTATCCGTGTATGGGTAGGTTTTTAAGATCGTTCACTTTTGATAATACAGAAGTAATCATATAAAAAATATGTTTAAAAAAACTCGCATGCTAACTTGAGACGACCGAAGTCCTAACTACAGCCCATGATTCTCTCTCTCTCTCTCTCTCTCTATATATATATATATATATATATATATATATATATATATATATATATATATATATATATATCCAAGCGAATTCTCACAGTGAATTTCATCTTAACTAAACCATATAACAATAATAAGATTAAAATAGACTTCACCCGTTGCAACGCACGGGTATTTTTTCTAGTAATATATAGTTGTAGAATTTAAAAAACAAAGTAAAAGTTAGAAGCTGAAAATTCCAATTTTTTTAGATTGTTACAAGCTAGAATTTAGAAAATGAAGTAAAAGTCATACTGGAAAATTCAACCTTTTCAGATTCTTACTAGCTTCTCAAAATTTTAAACTCTCTAAACAAGCTTTAAAATTCTGTTGTGTTTATCACAGCTCATAGTTTATTTTAGTTTTTATTGTAGTTTTTTATATTGGTTTTTAATTCGTTAATGATATATATACTCATTAACTATTTTGGATAATTGATAAGCTATTATGGATTACAATCAGCATATGTACTGGGTTAGAGGACGATGAGCACGTTACGGCAGAATATATGCGCTTAGTAGGTAGTTTCCGATTCTTAAAAAGAAAGTAGTAGTGTAAAAGGAGATGGCTTCATCTATTAAAAAAGGGAAGGGGCAGTTCATAAATTTGATACTACATAAGAGTACACGATAACGATGATATATATAATTCCGTGAGTAGCCATCGTCGGTTGATTGCTCGTGTGCCATGTCGTTTTTCGACAATTATTCTCCATGTGCCGTGTTAGCTAGCGTTCGGTTCCCTCCGAGACATGACAGTGACGAACATGATTGAGTCATGGCTGAGATATCGAATGGCGCCTGTCTGATCGCCAAAAGCTTAGTTTGCTGAAAGACGAATCCATGCATGCGAGATTGCAGTTTGCACTTTGGATGTGGAAACCATATCTAGCAAGGTATATGCAGCAGGCTGAGTTTCTAGCTGTAGTGTTTGAACGTTCATGTGACCGGGAAGATCGATTAGATATAACCACTGCTGGAGAAACCTTAGTTAAAATAATAATAAAAAACTACCGGAGAAACCATGATGAACCCCTGAGTTCATTTTGACACTCAAGACAGTTGTTTGGCCCGATCTTTCGGTGAGTTGATGATAACTACGATTTGAGAGAAACGTTGATGATTCGACTACAACCGTACAAGACGTTGCGTTGCGCCTTAGCGATCAATACACCTCTCCGTGGGCTGTTGATCTTGCCGATGCAAATCAACCTTATTCCTGCAAGCAAATCGAAGAAACAAGTAAGAACAAGATAAAAACAATCTGAATTGCAAATAGGAATTGAGTACAAATGATAAGTTGGGGTTACGTAACGAGTAAACCGGCGATCTAACCGATCACAGGATTACACGGCAAAGTAGCAAAGCTAAACTTTAATAGTGGTGCCTAGGGTCGTGCTCCACCTGGTTGGGGCGCACCCCACATGGGCCCCACTTAGGCCAAGGTCCCAAACGAAGTTACAAACCCATTGGCCCAATATAGGTGACGCAGCACCTTGTTTATGCGATTGCAGCCAAATGAGATGGAATTTGTATACGAGGCTAGATTCGTTGGAAAGAGGACTCCGAGAGCTTTCCATCAAGTACTCACGGACCCAAAACGGAGCTCGTATGCACATTTGGCGGCCATTTGAATTCAGCACGGTAGCAGGTGACCGAATTGGATTCCAGAATTTGGACGGCTTGATCTTGAAGTGTTCTTCTTGATCCATGATGTGAGCAACGGTTGTATCCATGGTAGCCATGGTCGACCAAATTCCACAATGGTCCCAGTTGTAAAAAAAATGGGGAGTTCAAAAGGTTAGAGCTACTTTTTTATCTTTAGTCCTGGTTGGAAAACCGGACTACGGGGGTTACCAACTGGGAGTAAAAAAACATTTCTCCACCATTGAAAGAAACCATAATCTCGTGTTTGTAAAATCTAGTAATAAATTTCAAAACAGAATTGCACATACATTTTCTTTAACTAAGCACCTGAGAAATTATTGGGGGTAATAGTTTTAACAATTTGATTGAATTTTATCCTAAACATCAAATATTTATAACTAGAGAGGGCAAGTTTAGAAAACACGCAAAGAGTGCAGGTAGATTTGTCTTGAAAAGTATTATCATGATACTATAAATTCTATAGGTTTTTACAAATTTATTATAACACAAAATTAATTTTAAAAGTTTTAAAATTTTGACTAAATCTTGTGTTAAAAGTCAAATATTTTTGACAAGAGGGCATATGAGATATATTATGATTAAATTACGATTATATGGAATTGATACAACCGTACAAACCTCGATCTTATTGCTAGCTGGTCATTGTAATCGCTAATGCTCATTTGATATCCAAACCCATGATGGATAATATTTACAAAACTTTGGCCGAAAGGACTCCGGACGTACTGGTCTCACATCTATATGGGGAAACACGCGAAAACCAAAGAGTAAGCAATTTAATCTAAGTGATGATATCAACTGATTTGATGATAAGAGATGAATACATAGACGTACAGTTGTTCAATTCATGGCCCCTCAAACTATAATGATGAAGATGAAAACTTGGTGATCACGCTGGTGAACTATTGGTGTAGACAAAGGGGAAAATCATTCGAATTAGCTAGAATATTAACAAATAAATAGTACCGCTAGGCTAGTACGTAATGATACAACTTTCGTACGAAAAAAATAGTCCACGTATAATGTTGCAGATGTTATGATTTTTGTCATTTACATTTTTAGGTGGAAATGGTGTTTCACTTTCACCGAAGTAAATGTGAGTCTGAAGAGAAATGGTGCCATCGTTTACTCCTAGTGCTATTCTCAATAGGAGTTTCTTTGTCATTAAATAGAATGTCATGTCAATATTTTTATGATGTTGCAAAGGAATTAATAAAGTAAGTGATGCAATGATGTCTATGTTGTTTCCAATAGTTTAAAACCATATACTATATGAGCTATTTCAATCATCAATTAAATATTTTATTGCTTATATGGCGCCCTTGAAAATATGAAAATGGCATCTCTCACTTGGAATGACCTAAAGGCAACAATAGCTACATCCAACGTGGCCCAATTGTTGGTGAAACTAGATACGGCCCGTTCTTTATAGTTCATTGGCTGCCAATTATTTGTAGATTATTTTCAAAAATATGATTTCTTCAAAAACTTCTTATACCCATTGTTCCAAGCTATCTGGGTTAGGTTTATAATATGTAATATTTAATTCTTTTCTAAAAACAAGTATACCACTATCAACTTTTATTATGTATTTAAAAGCGAATGTGCAAGAGAAATGCACATTTTTATATTAAGATAGAATGTTTTAAGTACGTGTCGTCATGGCGGCAAAGCGGCCTTAGAGAAAGAATGCTAGGGATAATCTCACGGGATGGAAGAAAAGACAATCTAAACAAGGAAAGAGACGTATTAGGGCGTGAAGTCTATCACTGTTGTGTCGGTTCTCCTGACTGCGCACCAAAGAGCAACTTCTTTTGCAATCTTGTTGACGACGACCAGCCATGTAAGGGGTTGATTATTGTACGGGCCAATCATATTCAACGTTTGCTAGGTATAGAAAAAAAAACCTATGGTGAAAATCACATAGTTCTTCTACTTCATCTCTTCCAACCTCACAAAGGATTATATTACACATACGTGAATTGCTGGGGTTAATGGTTATAGCGAGTTAGAGATATGTCATTTGTTTTTTTCCCTTTGATTGTTTGGTAAGAGGGTGCACTCACTGGTACATATATGGTGCTTGTCTATAAATAATCACTATGGCAATGATACCAAATTAGATGAGCATGGCTATGTAGTAGGAACTCAAGCATTTTGCCTAAATAGAAACTGGAAAGAAGAAATGCATGTTAACTAGGTGGTTCATTTTTACTTAGTAAGTGAACTTTTGTAAAGTAAATTTCACCTAACCACGCGTATTATGGTCTAAGTTGCACAAAACTATAGGGATTTTCGTACGTTGCGGATAGTCCCATGTATTATGGTCATAATGTTTCATAAAACCACACTATTGATCATTTGAACTTTGATCTAATATACTTCTGTCAGGGTTACAGATAAGGCATATCATCTATCATACGACTTATAGAATATACCGATAAGGTATACCTTCACGTGTACGGATCGTTTTCGTATACGTCGTTAGGAATTTATCTCAAATTATGGAAAATATCTCTATGAGTTAAGTAATTGCCGGAGTCCTACTCGGAAGGGGTAAAGCCTTTTGTTATATCGTGCCAGTTTACATATCCCTAAGTCTTACTTGGGGTCAAGGTATCCCTAAGTCTTACTTAGGGTCAAGGTATTCCACGGTATAAAAGGGGCCCCTAGGGGGAGGTGAAGGGCATCGCATCTCATCATCCACATACCCACTAAAGTTTACGAAGCCAGAGTGCACAGAGCCAAGTCGCCGGGAGATCTCGTCGAATCCCTCGACTACGATCTCATCGGTACCATCTGTTTCGACTATTCTCTTTGTAATTTGTTCTCATCATCATCAATCTCATATAAACTGGACTAGGGCTATTACCTGATAAGGGGTCTGAATCAGTATAATCCTTGTCTTCTGTCTGCGTGATGTCGTACTACGTAGACCCTCGTTCCAACGTACCCCAATACTCAACTCATCCGGTCCACGAGTATCCCTCGTCAACAACTTCTGAGTTTTAGATTTATTATATCAAATTCATGAGTTTTTATTTATCCATCATAAAGATGTTATATCCATGCAAGTATAGCCTTTTTAAATTTTGATATAGAAGTATGTTAAATTGGTTAATGGTGTGGTCATGTGAAACTTTTGAGCAATAATATTCATGGCTATGAGTTACGTGCTAAAATCCCTTTTGTTTTGTACAACTTTGTCCATAACTGGTGGAGTTTTATAAAACCCACTCTAAAAAAAAACTTCAATGCTTGAAATGCACATTCACAATGTTTCCAGAAAATACATATATTTGAGTCGGTACGATTATTATGTAACACTTTTTGCGGCCAAGAAAAATAAATCCATTTAAGCTAAACAAAGAGAGAAGGAGATAAAGAGAATGAACTAAGAAACACCAAAAATATGTTAAAAAATACAATGGTTTGGATTGAAACCTAAATTGCCCTAATTTCTTAGACCCCTATACGATCGTTCATTCTGCATATAACCGAACCGTGTACTGCTTGCACATAGAAAATTATATAACAATAAACTGACGGTATTAAAAATACTGTCTACACCATTTTTCGCAGCCTTAGGTTTACGTTCAGTATTTTGTATTGCTTATATTTCAACGGCTTACGTACCTTAGACAAAAGCTTCTGAAGGGCAGATTTTGCTTTTTAATTCATTCTTAGGTTTTAGTGTACATTGCAAGCTGTAACAACTTTTCAATACATTATTTGCAACTTAGACACATACGTAAACACGATACAATACCGTCAAGTTCTCAATTTGTACCACCAGACAAAAATTATGTTTGCCCTGCAAAAAAAAAAACTCTAAAAAAGAGAGAGACAAATTCCTTTGATAACCCATTTGATAAAGGCTGTGTTTAGTTCAACGCAAAAGTTTAGATTTTGATTGAAATTAGAGATAATATCACTGAAAAATTATGTGTGTATGATAGGTTAATGTGATAGAAAAGGACTAAAAGTTTGGATTCAAACTTTAGATCTAAACACAGAAAAAGCTAGTTCCCTTTCATTTCATTTCCAAAGACGTATTTAAGTCCTCGAAGCCAGCAGCGAACCCCCGGTATTATCCAATCCTTCCGCCACGCCTCCGCCTCCGCCGCCGCCTCGCCGTCCGCCTCCGCGGCCGCCGCCGCCGCCTCGCGGCAAAACCCTAACCCTCGAACTCCCCCCCACCCCACTCGCCCCCGCGCGGAGCAGGCGAGCGGCTACCCCAACCCGACCCCATGGCGTCCTCGACGGCGGCCAACCTGTGGGTTCTGCTCGGCCTCGGCATCGCCGGGGTCCTCCTGGCGGCGAAGCGGCTGCGGCGGCCCGCGCGGCCCGACAACGGCGCGTTCATCGCCCGCCTCGAGCTCCTCCCCCCGCCGCAGCCGCCGCCCCCCCAGGCGCGACACCCACTCACGGGGCTCTGCTTCGCCATCGCCGACGCGTAAGCTCTCTCCGCGCTCCCCGACCTCGCTTGTGTTTTTTTTTTTGCGTGATTTGAAGTTGGTAGTCCCTGATTGGATTGGTTGGGAGCGTGCTAGCACCGGTTTAAGAGCGGTAATTTGATCAGTTTGATCATGCTATCAGGGTATCACTACTTCTCATTGGGGTATTGGTATCAGGTCAGTTAGGGAGGCACGAATTTACTCGAGATGGCACATTGGGTTTGCTGAATTATATCATCCTTTTGTTTACATATATGGAAAGCTTTCAAAACGCGAGTAGTTTGTAGCTAGGTGTGTTTGCATCACACTATTTTGGTCCAAAAGATGCAGAGTGGAGATGGTCTTACAGTTCATTATAACGCCCTTTAAATGAGATATATTCATGTATCACTTGCCAAATATTATTGGCTGACACTGAAATGGGAAACAATGCCATGTAATGTTTATTCGATTACTTAATGATCTACCATAGTATTACATTGCTTAGTAACTGTACCATGGTTTGTGGTAAGGTGAATTTATTATGCAAGAAGGCATAGCATCCTGTGGCCGCTTCGCCTTTGGCAAGGCAATGTATCATGCATGTATCTAAACTTACATGAATGTATCATTATTAGATACTTATACCTTTTATTCATGAAACCATCCGCTTTAAGTTTTGCATGACAAATGGTTGTTTCCTAAAGTTTAGCTTTGAAGTTGAGATTACAGTTTTTTAGCACGTGGACTATAATTTGCTTCAAGATGCTGATTACTTAACCATTCAAAGGAAACCAGAATAGTATTTTTTTCTATTGCCAAAGAATTCTTGAACTATCGTTGGAAGAGTATTGAAACCACCCATCTAAAGTATTTGCAGCTTTATGAATAGACACTATTGTGTATAAAAGGTACAAGGTGTTACAAATTTGAAATAATAAGATGTTCTATGCTTCATTGTGAAAATTTTTTTTTGAAAGCATTGTTGTGGGTGGGGGGGGGGGGGAATGTCAACCTTATCATTCATACAGTCATGAAGCTGTGATGCAAACTTATAAACACTATGGTTAATTATCTTGTTCTAAAATACCAGATAATATCATAGTTTTGAACTTTTAAGGATATGCTCTCATCTGGTTCAACTCAAAGCCAGACATTTTTTTGGAACCTTTTAGTTTTTAACCTACTTAAGGTGCATTTACAGTTCAGTGCATATTCTAACACTAAAACTGGAATAAGGTATTTTCTCTGGGTCAAGATACCACTACTTCTTCTGAAGTGAACTTAGTTCTCCTCTGAGGCTCTTATATCCTTATAAATTTAATAGATACTTGCTAATAGATACCAATCTGAACTTAATTATTTTAGGACCTGAAAATTGTATTGTGGGCATATCTGCTTCATGGAGAAAATGCTATTTTCTGCAACCCAACTACTGGCACAAATTTTAGGTTACACAAATTATCCAAATGGACATTTGATCCGCAGCAGCTATGTATGTATTTATCTAAAACTGTGCATGCCTGCATGACAATTCTTTTTTAGTGCCAAAAATGGCAAAGTGTGTTTCTTAAATTTGCGCACTATTGGCCACAAAATGCTGTTGCACCTTTTCATTTTTGTACTTAACTTGTTCCCAGCACTGTGAAGGGGCAGACCGGTATTATCAATTTGGTGTTAACATTCGTCGTGTACATCATTTTATTTATCCTTGACCTCAGATGTCTTGTTTTGATTATTTGCAGATTCCACGTAACTGGTTATATAACAAGTTTTGGCAGCTTAGAATGGGCAAAGACACATGATGCAGCAACACAAACATCTCTAGTCGTTTCATCTCTTGTAGATGGTGGTGCTATGTGTGTTGGAAAAACTGTTATTGATGAAATGGCATTTAGGTAAAACCATTTTTTCTTTCTGCATATGGGTTCACTAAACCCTTCCATGTTCTATTTCATTTTATGAAATATCACAAAAGCAGAAATGTTCTCTACATTTTATAAGATTAGTTTGCCATAATTCACTTGTCTAATGTGTGCTTACATCTTACTTATTGTGCAATACACGTGCAGTATCCATGGTGAGAATAAACATTTTGGCACACCAACAAATCCTGCTGCTCCAGATCGAGTACCTGGAGGATGTTCAAGTGGGTCAGCTGTTGCTGTTGCTGCTGGCATTGTAGATTTTTCCTTAGGTGAGCTGACTATTTTAATTCATTGTCTAGAGATTTATGCGTGCAACATGCTGTCCTTATTTGGGCAACATTTTGTTTAATGCCACTTTCTCCTCATCCTTTAGTATCAGAGCTTAGTATAAATCTGAATTTCCTGTACATTTGAATTACTTCACTAGTTGTTTATGTGTGGTAGTGATTATCTGGATTTCAGGATTGACAATTGACAATTGTCAGTTTTAGGGTTGATGTATGATTTTTTTTTTCAATCCATTTTCCTGGTTTACTATTATGTGCATCTCAAGAAAAGAAGTTGTTCTGATGTGACTGCCTTCCTTTACATTGCATCATTCTACCAAGTCTGATCCATCTGACTTCCCTCCATTAGATGTTAACCTTCATTGCGACTGTAGAGGATCCAAAACAATTCTATGTTTAGGGTCAGGCATTGACTTGAAATTTCTTTGGTGCCTGTCCATGATTTCACTGGTTTCCAAAATTAATACATCCTCTTTGTGACAGTTGTGGAACCATAAGGTCTTGTGTGCATGGGTCATATATACTTTAATAGATAAATAATGTGCTGAGAATGTGATTCTGCAGGTATTGATACCATTGGAGGAGTAAGGGTACCAGGTAGTTATTGTGGCGTCTTGGCATTCCGGCCTTCACATGCTGTTGTCCCCAACAATGGTGTTATTCCTGTCGCTCCTAGCCTGGATGCCATAGGTACCTTTGAAAATATATTTCTTTTAAAGAACAAAATATGTATTGACTTGTAATCTCTTCCAGAATCACTCTTAATTCAAATTTGTAAACTTGCCGTGCCCCATTTATTTTTAATTAATTTGTCTGTAGGTTGGTTTGCGAGGGATCCAAGTGTACTGCGTCGTGTTGGCCATCTCCTTCTGAGGCTACCCTACGCTGATATTCGACAACCCAGACATTTCTACATAGCAGATGATTGCTTTGAAATGTCAAAGGTGCATGCAAGAAGATTGACTCAGGTGGTGACGAAATCTGTGGAAAAGCTATTTGGGAGTATGTATCTCCTCTTTACACTTGTCATTCTTATTTTAAAATTCCCTTAGTTTTTGCTGGCCACCAACTTCCTCATGTTGATTTTTTTCCCTTGCGTATTACATTAGGACAAGTCCTGGGTCATGTTAATCTTGAAAATTATTTGGCTTCAAGAATACCCAGCCTGAGGAACAATTCAAATGGTCATGGTGACTCAAAGTTTTCTTCATTGCTAGCACTTTCTAGGGCTATGCAGTTTCTTCACAAGTATGCTCCTGCCCTACATGATCATGTTATTAAATAAATAAGTAACTACTGGTTACATATAAAATATGGTAGTATTAAATTTCCTCTGTGAGTTCTAGCCTGTATAGTTATTTATGTGGAAACTGATGATGTTCACAGGTTTATGAAACAATGATGTTAGTTGACTTGAACTACATACTTCCGTAGGTTGCTTGCATGTAGATTATTTCCCTCGTTGCTTGCATGTAGATTATTTCCCTCCTACATATCTATTTTCAGATCACGATAATTAATAATTGGAATAGCTGTTTTTTTTCCCTTAGCTACTGCAAGCTTTGGCATTTGCAAACAAAGAACACATTCCATGCTCTATTATGTGGTCTTACTTTGGCTTTGGCTTAGGTTTTCTAATTTTAGAAGTCATACTAGACAAACTCTGTTGTTTATATACATGGCTTGTTTTTTTTAATAATTAAACTGATAATTTTTCTCGTGTCTGTTTGTTCTATTTGGTGTATTCTATTTAACTCGTGCCAAAAAAATTAATAGTATCATGTTATTCGGTCCAGACATGAATTCAAAGATCAACATATGGAGTGGATAAACTCTGTTAAGCCTGCTGTTGATGCATGCATAGTTGGTAATTTGTCTGATGATGGTGAGTCAACTATCAATAACAGTCAAGATGCAAGGAAAGAAGTCCGTGCAGCTCTCGGTGCTCTTCTTAAGGTTGGTAAAGAATTGAGTTTGGGATGAACTGGAATTTAGCGAGATTTCAGTAGCGAGTACCTACATTGTCAGGAACTGCTTGTTTGATCTTCTGACTGATTTCTCAACACACTTAGTTGGCCATCACTGATAGTTTTGCTGGTTTTATTGGATAAATGTTATTGAAAAACATATTATTATTCCTCTGAACGATAGATGGAAAGCATATCTAATGCTTTTTAGGTTTTACAAATGTCATTTCCTTGAAATTTATGTTGTTTGAAAACAAGTGGATGAAATCTAGAATCAATTGAATATATGGACAAATTGAAATATTTAACATATTTCTGCAACCGTGAACTTGGATATGTTATTTTCATCAGTGATATTTCATGTTGCTCTTGTTTCCTTCGCTATATTATTGTTTTGAACCAATTACTTAGCAGTTAACACAATGTTGGGCCCAGTTACAAAGCTTCTTCTGGAAATGAAAATAGTGGTTCATTTACTTTTAGTACTGTACTGTTAGCCTGAAGTATACATTTGAGAACTTTCTTTGTGAAACAGAAAGGCTTAGAGTAAAAGTGTCTACCTGAGGATCCATGTTATGTGGTGATAGTTTTCCTGAACTGCTCTTGTTTCTGATTCATAATCTTTACATGCCATTGGATGTGCTGCGATAATCTTATTTGTTGGTATTGTACTGATTACTTATTTTATGATGCTATTTCGTTAACATGTCGTTGAATGTGCTGTGATAATCTTATTTAGTGTTATCATACTGTTAGTTTCTTTGTCATGATGTTTCTTAATCCACAGGATGATGGAATTCTGGTCATTCCAACTGTTCTGGGATGCCCCCCAAAACTAAATGCCAGGGAACTTTCATCTCAGGACTACAATGTTCAGACATCATGTCTTACATCTTTAGCTAGCATGTCAGGGTGTTGCCAGGTATGATAGTACAATTCATATGCTATTCAAAGGTTATGTTGCTAACATATAATCCTGTTCTTTCTTTTCCTCCAATGGAAGTTGTGCTGCTTAATTTTGCAACTCTTTGGATCCATTTGGCATTTTAGACGGGTGAAACTTTCATGGAAGTTAACAAACAACAACATAAACTCTACAAAATTTACATGCCTCTTAAAGTCAGCAATAGTATGCTTTTATTGGGCAACTTTAATTGCAATTTCGCTGGGCATCAATACAATCGAGTTTCTAAAGCTCTGCATGCAAGTTTCATCATTAGTACAAGGGCAGTTCCAACATAGCCAGTGAAGTGACTAGACTTGCAAAAATAATTTCGAAATTGCTGCAGCCTAAGGCACTAACATGGTTAAGACACATGAATAACACAGAATGATAGCATATGAATAAGTTAACATTGCTGATAGCTAACCATGAAAGTTGAAAATTGCTAGTTTTTATCTGACTTCAATTGATGATTTTGTGGTGATATTTCGCTCCTGATTCTGGAGGAGCAAACTCTCCGTGGTTATGTTTTGGCCTGAGATGGATACAGGCGAATGTTTGGGAGGGCATGAATCTGATAAGGCTAGCTTTAGCTTCATTGCACATGGACTTGCATGCTTTTCTGGTAAACCCTTATTGCATCTTAACTAATTCAACTATTTTGATGACCCTTTTCAGGTGACGGTTCCTCTGGGTACACATGATAAGTGTCCAGTTTCAGTTTCTTTGATTGCAAGGCATGGTGGTGATCGATTTTTATTGGACACCATTCAAACAATTTATGCTACCATCCAAGAGCAAGTTGACGCTCTAGCAAAGTCTAATGTCTCGAGTAAACAGGCGATGAGTGAAGAAGCTGCTGAAGCTGCTAAAGAGAAAGTCAGTTCCTTTCTTATTTTGATGATTTTTTTTTAGCATAGCTTTCGATTTTCTAACATCTGCTCAACACAGTTACTACTTTCCGTAGTAGCACTTAGCTTGCCATCTAGATGGAAATTGAAGAAAAAGGCTAATGATAATGCACTAGTCGATACATGCCAGTTTTTAGGTGTTACATCTTATAATTTGTCATGTTAAAGGAAAAGAGAAAAAAAGGTTGTCTAATAGTAATAACCTAGAAATCAGTATGTCAGAGTATACTCACTGGTACAGATCTAATAGTAATGTATACAGATCAGTACCAACCAGTAGGTCTAATAGTGCAGTAAAACTATTTGTAATGGCCCAAAATTATGTTCAAGTTGTTCTTTTGAACCACTGTTGAAGTAAAAAACAAAGCCACCATTATGGATTTATTACATTAATATCTTCCCTTTTTTGTGTCCTTACTGAGTTTTTCTTTCTGTTACTTGTTCCTTGACAGGGTAACATTGCATTTAAGGAGAAACAATGGCAAAAGGCAATAAATTTCTATACTGAAGCAATCAAATTAAATAATAAAGTGGCTACATACTACAGCAACAGAGCTGCTGCTTTTCTAGAGCTAGCTAGGTATGTTATTAACCTCTATGGCATCTTTTTTCTCAAAGATTACCTTGATGAGCTGGCTTCTGTAACTTATTTTTTTCGCGCATCAATTATTTCATGGTTTGTCTTTTCGGACCCCTTTCAGTTACCGCCAAGCTGAGGCAGATTGCACAAGTGCCATCGATATTGATCCAAAGGTTAGGATCTGCTTTCTTGGTTCAGACTTTTATACGCACATTCAGATTTGTATATATTATTCTACTATTAAGATGTTATTATTGATAATGAAACAAAAGGGGAAGTACAAGATATAGGACAATTCTTCCAATTCTTTTCTCGAAATGCTATATTTCCTACTTTATGATGAGCTGGTTCTGTCATTGAATCAACCATCCAAAGAATTTGGGCTGTTTCTGATTAATGCAGTGCTGTTTATAAGTTTTTTAGTAGGTGCTTTCACATCTAGTTGAGATTCTGATAAGTGTGATCCTTTTCGCAATTCATTGAGTAGTGTTTTATATACATTGATGTGAGAATTCACATCGATCTTTTTATTTTTTCAGATTGTAAAAGCTTATTTGAGGAGAGGCACTGCAAGGGAGATGCTGGGTTACTACAAGGAGGCTGTTGATGGTCCGTCTTACCTTTCTTCCTCTGTATACCTTACCAGTATTTCACAGTATTAACCATTAACAGGTCTCCCTTGGAATCTGCAAACTGTGTCCACTATTTTGTACAAGTTCTTATTGTGTATCCATTTTACTACAATTTGCAGATTTCAGCCACGCCCTTGTTCTAGAACCCATGAACAAGACAGCTGGTGTGGCCATCAATAGGTTAAAGAAGCTATTTCCGTAAATACTGGGCTGTTGGATTTTTTTTCTGCATAAAGATACTCAAGTTCTGCATGCCTGGGGGGTGAAAAAGAAGGTACCTGAGTGCCACCGATTGATGCTGCTATCCAAGTTCATAAGGTACTAACTACCGTTGCTACTGGCGATAGAACTGTCTATCATCTGTGTTTTCAATTAGTTGTTACCCCCCAAGTTTTGGAAAAGTGGAATCGAAAACAGAATTTTGGGAGTTGATCATAGTAAACAATGCCTTTAAATATGCTCTAGTGGTGTTCTTGGCCCACTTCCATGTATAATATCGGTTTTGGCAATTATTTGTTGAGGCACCCATATTTTTCCTGTTGAAAACTTTTTGCCATGATCACCTGTACGCTGTGCACATCTTTCCCACTCTGAACTGCAGCTTTCAGGGCTCGTACTGAACGGCTTCCTCCCGTGAGGTCACTCGCGGAGAGGCTGTTAGGCAGCCATGTGCTGACGCCCAATTGCTTAGCTGGCTAAACTAGTATATATTCAGCCGAACCTTTCGGACTTTTCTTTCGGTTTTGGTTGTTCGCGAGTTGCTGTCACTAGAACTTCCTGTGTTTGAAGATGTCTGCGTCAGTGATGTGTGCCTAATCTAGCGCCGGATTGCTTAAGCACGGGACCGTTCCTGTGCATGGACGTGCCACTGGGCCTGGGGCTATTTTCTGGCTCTAATAAATGGGTGCGATACATTGATTGCTCAAGTTAGGCTCAGGTTTGTTGGGTCAGTTCTGGATCCAGTACAGGATGACTAGTTTTTAGGCTAGGCAGGTCATTGGCTATCAGGCTATGTTTGTTCCAGTAGCAACCACCATGCCACTAACCAGTTAGGAGTAGCTCAGAAAGTATACTACTATACACCTTAAGATTCTCCAATCTCCTCGATGCAAACCTGGCCATTCAGATGCCATGATCTGTTCAAGAATTAGAGCCGGACCCAGTGCAGAATTTCACCACCCAGATCTTTGTTCTCTATATGACTCTATGACCTGTCTCAGGCAGTTTCAACAAGCGTGTGGTCAGGTGCATTAGTGCATAATAATTCCGGGACCAGGTGGTAATAAAAAATAGCAATGAATGGCGAGGAGAACAGCTGCTGGTTTGACCGGAACGGGGCGACACGGGCAAGGCTGCACGGCGGCGCCGGCGACGTGGCCGGCCGGAGCGGCTGATGCCGCCGAGTGCGTGTCCCCATCATTGCAAGTGAAAGTCAAGCCGGCCGGCCCCCAGCTGCACGGGGGAGCTCTCCCTTTGACCTGGCTTCCACTACAGCCTTCAGTGTGATCGTTCAACTCTAATCTAAACCGAATTTCGCGGTGCTGGAGATGGAAAAGTTTCAGGGAAAAGGTAAAACATCCATTCCCGATTCGTGATCCATCCCCATCTTGCGCACGAGCAGGTTAAGGATTAAAAAAGTCGACAGACACACTTCCACGGGTGCATGCATCGTTTTTTTTTGGGGGGGTAAATTCATCTGTTGCGAACGAAGCCAGAGACTTATCCCCATTTTAGGTCGCGTCGCGTTCTAACTGAATAATTTGATAGATTTTGGATAGAGAAAAGAAAAGGATGAATCAAATATTCTAAAGTTTGCATACCTTAGAAAAAGGCTATATAACCGCTGTTACAGACGAATATTTTTGAGAAATCCTACTTCTAAAAACGTGACAGGGATAATTCATATCTATGCCACGCCTAAAAGGAGACAACCCGAGGTTTTAGGACTTGTTTGGTTTAGTGCCGATTTTTATCCTACCAAATATTTTGGCAGTGCCAAAGGTTTTGGTGTTATCAAATTTGGTACTATATTAGCAAACATATAAATCGGTAGCAAATCAAACACTTTATATGGCACATTAAGTTTGTTTCCCCTTGTTCCCAACTCTCCTTCTCATTTTTCGCGCGCATGCTTTTCAAACTACTATTTTGGTGCGTTTTTTTGCAAAAAAGTTTCTATATGAAAGTTGTTTAAAAAGATCATATTGTTCTATTTTTGAAAAAAAAATAGTTAATACTTAATTAATCACATGCTAATAGATTGCTCCGTTTTCCATGCGGGGAGTTTGGTTCCCAACCATCCCAAACGAATACAGCTTAAAACTACCGAAGTTCCTAAAATTTTAATAGGGTGTAATTTGGCATCATTTCGAACAAAAGCCCTTGGTTTTCCAGGACGACCGCGTCGTGGCCTCGCGGAGACCGGAGGCCGCGGCGGCACGGCGAGAGAGAGGATCACGCGAGCCGCACCGCCGCCGCCGCCCGCCGACCCAGCCGCTTCGTTGCCACGCATCATGACGGCACGAGGCTAAACCAAAACAACAGCAACAGCAACAGATGCGTGTGCGTGTGTACTCCGCGGAGTGGAGTACGTACGTAAGGCTCCGCGGTGGCGGTTAGGTACGGCTCCTCTTTTCAGCGCTTTTTAGCTTTCAATCCGATCGATCCCCCCGGGCTCAGGCCGCAGACCGGGACCATTGCCGGCGAAACAGAATCGCGTGCCACGCCACACCACCACAGCTCAGACGTGGCGCGAGAGAATGACAACCGCGTGAGTGAACCACACCACCTGCTCATCCGCATCGCCAGCAACGACGGATCTGGTTCACTGATATCATGATGTGTCTATAGATATCATAGCATTCTAGTTATACTTATATTTATGTGTTATAATATAAGAATAAGCATTTTAACCATAGGTGCCAAAAATCGTCGGAATTACCTGATACCGATGCTAACATCGTAGATCCACCCTGATCGCCAGCAGCAGAGCAACCCATCGATGAACCGATCGATCTTGCATCTGCAATGTAACAGCCGACGCATCAATATTTTGCGTTGTTGGGTGGTTAGTGTACGTGTATGGTGTGCCATTTGACTAATGACTAGTATTTCCTGTCGATTAGGTTAGAGCGGCACTAATTAACAAGAGGGCTAAGCTAGCGATTGGGGTAGATCTTTTCATAATGCGAATTCTCCCCGTCTAATCTCTCCATCTCTACCCATGTGATGCGTGGTTGTATTATTCATCCGTGTACCCAGTAGGCTCCATGGGCCCTGTATTATTTTCGGGTCTACCACCTGCAGAGGGAGTCTCCATTATTATTATTACTTTTGTTATCGTTCTTCATGTGACAATCGATCGATCGATCCTGAACTGAACTTTCAAGAGAACCGATCCTGAACTCACTCCTCTTTGCGCATCAACTACCTGCTCTGCACTGCAAAGCTTTTCATTTTCCTCGGTGTGTGACTGACCATCGCCATTAAGCCTTGGAAGTTGCGTTGCAGCCTTGCAGGAGAGAAGAGAGATGAGTAGCAGGAAGGAGGACCATCTTGCGACAAGCTTCGCGTTGCTCGCTCGCTCGCTGGCTCGCTGCTGCGGTTGCCTTTCTGCTGCTAGATCTAAACAGCCTCATGTTTTGGGGGTGCATGCATGCAATGCGACCAGTGTCGATCACTCACTCGCTTGCTCACAAGCACCAGCGCATGCATGTGGTGCTGGGTTTTCTTTTGCTTTGCAGAGACCGGGGGACCCCAGATCAAATGCATTGCTGCTCCTGCCTGACTGCAACTTTTTTTTTTTGGGGGAAAGATTAACCAGATCAGAGATGAGTTGTAACGGTGGGAGCCGTGGGACAGACACGTATTGTGTTCATTTGGAGTGCTGCTATACGTACGATTATTTTTACGATGTTTATACGATGAAACGTTCTCTCTTAGCCCATGAGGGCTCTTGACTGCCGCGTGCGCATGCGCCGTGTGTTCGCGCCGTTATCGTACTAAGATCGTAAGAAAAAATCGTATGTACAGCAATTTCCGTTCATTTGGAGGGTTGGAAACCTCTCTCCTTCCTAAGTAAAATGGAATAACTAATTAACGCATGACTAACTAAGTATTAGCTTTATTTAAAAATAAATTAATATAGTTCTTTACAGCAACTTTTGTATATAAATTTTTTTAAAAACACACTGTTTAGCAGCTTGGAAAGTGTGCGCTTGAAAAACGAGCCATGTGAGGTTGGGAACCTTGAAGGAGGAACACAGTACGTGCCTGGCATTTGTAACGGGGGTTTGATTACTTCTCTCGTTGAAATCCCACATTTCCATAGCTTCTTATGCAATGTATTGACATTATATTTGTATACGGTGTATGGTACGGTAGTACAGTGCCATTCGTTATCAGATGGTTGACTAAGCTGATGAGTTTTTATTTTTAAGCATACACCAATCAAGTTGTCAATAGGTCAAGCTCACGCAATCTAGAATGCCTTCTAGATAAGCTCAAATTGGTAGGAGTATTTGATGGGCTTCTTTACAATGCAGGAATTTTACAGATATTGCTTCTCTTCCTATAAAATCTCTCTAAAATTCTCTTGTTTTAAAGGAGACTATTTTGTTCCTTGCCACTTCTGAACTTTGCTAAGAACATGAAAGTTGCATATTTTTTTTGTGTGTGTATGTGTTTCTGCTGCCTCAATTCAATTAAGTAAAATAATTTGGCAATTCGATCAGGTAAATAGATAGTAATTGTTTCTCAAAACTAAAATAGATAGTAGTTATTTTTTTGGCTTCACCATTTTTTTTTAAAGTTTGGTTGGGTTGATCTACAAACCAAACATGCGCCCCTTAATCTTGAGATTAGCTCGACAAAGAGGTCTTATTGCCATATGTATAAAAGGAAGGTCAGTGAAAACTTAAGTCACATGTAAGAAATTCCCTACAAGTATTTCTGAAAGTTTTAGCGAAAATCAAGGTTAAGATGAGAAATGGTTGTGATTGTTCAGATGATAAAGTGGATAAGGAAACAGTAGTTGATAATGAAGTATTCTCTTCGTGATCATCTTGGAGCCTCACTCTAGTATCTAGGCTGGTCACCTCCCTGCCCTAAAGAGCAAAAGCAAACGAAAAACAATCGTATGGTTACTTGCCCAGTCTCAATCAAAGTTGCCTGCTACTGCTTCCTGCTCTCTCTGATCTCTCATCTATCAGTCCGATTCATAATACTGTATATCACCTTATTTTTGCTCCGTTTATAACAAAATAAATCGTTGATATGCTTAGCCGAAACAATGCACAAACAGTGCCGCGTTCTCCGTCAGGAGCTAGGATTAAACAGTGGCGAGTTATTGCGAAGTGAGCCTCTCACGTCCAGATCCACAGTTTCGATTCCCTCTGCTAGTCGTGTAGCTATAGCGTAGCTTAGCTGTAGCTGCTGGATAGACTCCTCAATCAGATTAGACTTGTCTCAATATCACTTATTGTTAATTATCACGAGCATGGAAAAAAGCTTGTGGTTCTCATGTTTTGTGTTGGTTGTGAGAGCAGGAATAATTAA